GCAGGGGTGTCGGAGTGGGGAGCGGAGGGAATGCCACTCCGCTCCTCGGCGCCGTTTTAGGCCCCGTCTTGGCCGGCGCCTGGGGATGTGCTTTGGCCGGCGCCTTAGCCGGTGCCTTGGCCGGCGCCTGGGCCGGTGCCTTGGCCCCCCTCCTCGGCTTTTGGGGAGCCGATGGAGTCGGGGCAGACGCCGCCGCCGCGTAGGAGACGCGGCCTCCCACTACGGGGAGCGCGGTCGGAGCGGCGGCCTTAGGCCGCTGTGCCGACGCGAGCGGGGGGCGCATAATCGGCGCAGGGGGCAGTCTCGCCTCCAGGCCAGCCAGGCGTCCGTCCAGCATATTCCCAACTGCGATGAGGATTTCTCGCAGTTGGGAGTCAAATGCCCCTGAGTTGGTGGTAGGGGCAGGCTGGGACGCGGACGGGGCTTCCCGCTCGGGGAGGTTCGCCTGGAAGCGGGCGAACTGAGCGCTCAGCTCGTTCACCCGCTCCGTCAGCTTCTCGTTGGCCACCTGCAGGCGAGAGACGTCGCCCGCTAGGCCCTCCACGACCTCCGACAAAGCGGAGGAGGAGTCCTTAAGGGCCCTCACAAACGAGCCCTTAAGGTTCACGGATTTGGTGGCCACCTTGTCGATGAAGACCACCGCCGCTTTCGCCCTCTCCTGCACGGACACGGGAGCCTGGGGGGCATTTCCCCCCACCGGCTCCCGAACCTTGAGCAGGAGATCCGCGATCTCCTCCTCCGCTACGGCCTCGCCGTCCACCCGTACGTTCCTGTACGACTCCGCGTTGGAGAACGCGGAGCCTGACGGGATCGCGACCGAGGCCGGTTTGCGCGCCCTCCCTCGGCGGCTGCTTGCCACCTTTGGTGGCATCATTTCGCCGGACGTGTCGGTTTCCACGTCCCCTGAGCGTCCGCGTTTCCGGCTGTCGCTCCGCTCCGCTTCCATGGCCTCCGCGCCATCCGATGAAGCGGCGGATCCGGAACGCAGCCGATCCGATGCTCTTCGGCTCCCAGAGACCAGCGTTAGACTGACTTCTGGGAGCCCCATCGAGATAGGCGTTCCTGACACCATCTCACCCTCAGTGGACGACCCATCCGCTCCACTGTTCCTCTTCTCCCTTGCACATTTCGTTGCAGTGTCCGTTTTGCTTGCCTTTTGTTGTTGTTTTGTTCCGATCGTTTTCTTTGTGTTAGTTTTATTATTGTCCATAATTGATCCCACGAGTGGGGGAGAACTAAAGGTCCACCCGGGCAGAGATCCCCCATTACCCGGGCAAGCGTAAGTTTTTAACCCAACCGAGGAGTCCGCAGGTACCTCGGCTTGGAGTGCGCTCGCGACTGAACTTCCCATCAGCCATGCATCCCCTGGCCACGCACCAGAACACGGGATTCGGGGAATTTTTTAGAGAGGTTATCTTCCTCGCGGTCCGGGCGGTTAAGCCAAGACCCTCGTCCCCGATCAGAGCCGCGAGACTTAACCACAGCGCTCTTCTCGGGATTACGATATGCCGACGGTTGACAGGGAGACTACGTCCCCCTGCCTGCTCGGTGGTAGTGTGAGTACACGCCGAGCCCGTCCTCCTTTCTCCACCGCTATCAGCGGAGAAAACTGTGGCCCCTACAGGGCCCCGCCATCAGGTTTTTTACCGAGGTTTCCTCTTCCATGCTCCGAAGAGCGAAGAGCCAGCAGGGCAACCGGCAGACACGCCCACCCTGCTGGACCAGGCCTTGCCCGAGAGCCGATGAACGGCTGCCTCTTCTGCTAGAATATTGGCCGCTGGCGATAATCCTCTCCTCCAAGAGGACAAGGAGGAAACAGTACCATCGCCAGCGTTTCCAGGGTGCACCACGGGGAGGTTTTCTAGCTAGCACCCCACACAAACCCTATACCAACCCGTCTCACCAGCGTGGTATAGTAGGCCAAAACATCCTTTCTAAGGAGAGGTCTATGTCCAACAGTGGACTATTAAAGGTTATTGATGTGATGTGATGTGAAACATAATATAGGTACACAAACTCGCTTTTGCATTTTAATATTTATTAAGGTTAGGATAATTATAGTCGACGTATAATTATATGAATCATTTTATTTGCAGCTTCTTTCCGAGGTAGCAATTACATGCGCAAGTCTATGGGTCCTTTACTACTTCATACTTCTCTGGTCATTAGCTTTAGTAAACGAGATTTTTATTCAAGAAGTGAGACTGACTAAGTTGCACTGTATTTACGCGATGTCTGAATACTTTGAAGGTAATTTTAAAATAGAAAAAAGTAGGTATATCTCTTAAATCTTACGCAAACACCAACTTTAATGTTATTATATCATATACACATTACACAAGGTCTTTTTTTTCTCTGTGAGGAAATCCCTTCGGATATCACCTGTGGTAAACAAATAATAAGAAAATTAAATCCGCAATTAGAAAGCCTATTACCCGATTGTTTTTTTGGCGCAGGCTATTTCTGAAGTGGAAATGTGCTGTGGGCTAGGGTGTTTTTATTATTATTATTGTTTTCTATTTTTTATGTTTCACTTCACCTTCTCTTTTATTTGATCTTTTTTCCTAATCTTATTTTTCTCTTAATACAATAGTATTTTTACCTTTCAATTATCAATAACGGACATACTGGCACACATCGGCACAATGTGGTGGTATATTTAAAGATTATATTTAAAGATTACATTGAATTTATCTGTAAATTGCAAAAGAGTGGGCATGAGTTTGTTTGCCCTTTCTTCTGATAAGGCTCAACCCCTTGGAAACGGACGGTTATGGATCGGCACAGACACATTTTTATTAAAAAAATCCCTTACTATTTGACAAAACAGAGATTGTTGCTATTGTGTGCGTTGATCTACGTCTTTAGAGTCTACACACAAGACGATTTCAAACAATTTTATTTTTTTATGAAATAAAGATATTTTGAATTTGAATTTAATATATGGCAAATGGTTCATTGAATCAAAAATTCTATCCTCAGACTATAGGATAAAAGAGAAAAAAAAATTCTCTCACGTTACATGCTAGGCACCCGCCCCGGTCACCAGTCTTGAAATATTTTTTAGCTTTTGCATAATTTAAATATAACTTTAAACAACACTAGTATTAACCGCCTTTAAGTAAAGTCCTGGATGGTCTACCAGGCAGGAGAACCCTAAAATTATGTTTATTACATTGAGATGTGAGGCTCGAATGTTATCTTCAAAACTGTACCTTGCTATTACTTTTCAGGTCCTATTCGTCAGGGAGCCAACGACATCCTTCGCGCAATAGACTTCATGAGCCCAGTGTTTTCGATCTACAGTATTTTTATTCTAGACAAATCTTTGGTATTTAAGCTAATAGGAATTATCACCACCAATATAGTTGTTATAATCCAGTTTACAATGTAGAGGTCTTTGTGATAAAGATAAAAATACAATAATAATAATTTTATCATGTATTATGTATCACGGTCCTTTAACCTAGTACTAGTGTTCTTATAAGGACCTCCAACAAACGTTACAAGCGTTGGTATTGGGTTCACGGGATTTTAGCACATAGCATGCTATCCCACAACCACTCCATCTCAACGCTTCATGATTTTAGTTCCCGCCGCTAATAGATACGAGTAGAGACTTCGATTTAAGACTTTACTGTGATAAGTTGGTGATGACCTCTAAAGATTGAGATTTAAGTTTAAGCGACTCCCTAATTTCTGTAAAATATTTTACATTATACTTTCGTGAACCATTAAAGTCATAGTAAATCTAAGCTCCACTATGACTGGTCAGTTCACTGCTTTGGTACTCCCTTTCTAGCCATATTCTCTTCTACGCAGTCCATTCATCTTTTCTCGGTCGTCCTCTATTCTTAGATCCGTCAACTTCCATACTTAAAACTTTCTTTAGTACATTTTTACGCATTATGACACGATTTGTGTTGATATTGTTTTACTTTCAATCGAGTGTATGTATTTATAGAGGCAAACATTAAAAATGCATGCAAATAATTAAAAACAGTCTAATAATTCGTTGGAAATATTTAATTGTAATGTAACTAATACTGACTATATGTTATTTTACTACAGAGACATTCGCCAAGACACAGTAAAACATTTTATTCCGGCGATATGTTTTTGTGTATTTATTGTGTAGTTACCACAAAATGTTTCTAATTTTCTAGATTCAAATGCTTTCAAGTTGAATATGATCCATAACAAGGAAAGGCAAACACATGCGTGTATGTAAAAATGCAAAATGTGTGATTAAATGTAATTAATTGTGAACATAAAGTAATAAATTATTTTACTATTAATATTTATTAATACTACACTTGTGTAAATATATACCTGCTATGTAATATTTACTCGAAAGTTTTACGTTTGAACATATTATCGTGAAAAAAACTTCATCTTGATAGTATTTCTTATACTCGGACATTCAATCGTGTCACCAATTGTCTAGTATTTAAGTCGCATAGAATTAAATAACGTGTTTCTAATGTTTTTGCCACGATAATTAATAAAAGTTGTTTCGAGATTCGAGTTAACATGCTATCTATGTTATCCAAAGACAACTTAAGTAGGTATCTAAGCAATTCATGATGTCTAAGTTATGTGTATTTTGCTAGAAATTACCTCTTAAAAATTTATTGTCGTTTACCTATGCGACAGACAGGCTATTTGACATCATTATAATATATTTTGGTAAATCTTTAATTTTTGAAATTTTGTTTGAGGTTTTTTTTTTTATTTGCCATTGTAAACAAGAAAAGTATGAGCTCAAGATTTTAAAAATATAAGCTAATTTAAGCTTGACAGTGCACGGATGATTTTTGTTAATTTTATCCAGATTGTACTAAAAATATCACGTCAAAAGAAGATTTTTTCTTTCATTCTTCTAAATACATAAATATTGAGAGTGACCTAATTTTTTCAAATGAAATGTCAATTGTAATTTGAAAAAAAAAACGATTACTTTAGCCGCTGCTGAGAGTTTAGTAAGAGAGGAATTGCGATTAGTATGCAAAACATAGTTCTTCCTTGTAGCCAAGCTTGGCAAGAGCCGGTTTACAAGCGAAGTTGATCATGGGCGGTGGTCCGCACATAAGTACGACGCCGTCGTCGGATGGTGGTAATAAATGATCACGAATCATTTCATCGTTGATGAATCCAACGCTGTATCTCCATCCTGAAAGCATAATAGTGGTCATATCTTGAAATAGTCAGGGACGATATAATAATTATTATGTAGAACAAGACAGCAACGTTATAGTTTTGTATCCCATACGACACGAGTTTCAAAAGATAAAATATATATAAATGAATATATATTAAGAAATATAAGTATTATAAATATTTTATGCTCAACATATGTCAATCGTATAGAATAATTGTTTACTCGTGCCATGCCAAATACACAAACCGACCAATTTTTATTAAAAAAAAAAAAAATTACCTTCATTGGGCCTGTCAATCGTATACCATACTCTGAATTGTTCAGGATGTTGGGCTTGGTAATTTTCCAGTTCATTTCTTAGTAGGATGTCTTCTTCCGTCTGGTTGGCAAACAAAAGTCGCATTTCGGTCTTGTCATTGGGATCTCTGCATATGTGTCTAACTAGTTGAAGCATTGGAGCGATACCAGTACCACCTGTTTCCAAAACAATATCATAATCATACATGTATAACCGAAGCACCAAAGAGCAAAACATTTTACTAAAACGAGGAAGGTTAAGGTCACTAACACTGACGAGAATTGGTATGCAAGAGTGCCATTTCCGTAAAAAACGTATCAAGTTTTATCGCAAAGCAATATGGAAAAATTCTGCGGCAGTAAAAAGCCTTTGTCTAAACTTTGAAGTGAACGGGTTAAGAAAATTCCTAGCTCAACAATAACTACACAAAACCTTAAGGGTGTTTCTATGTGTAATAAGTATATATTTACAAAAAAAAAGTATATATATATTTATATCAGTTGTCTAGTAGCCATAGTACAAGTTCTGCTTAGTTGTGGACTAGATGGTACTGTGTGAATGTGGTAGCATATTATTATTATTATAAACTAACGGCATTGAACTAGAAACACACTTCCCAGGATGGGTGTCAGTGTTCTGCTATGACTATTTATTAAATTTATTAACAGCTCATTATTTGATCATTAGAATACTGGCCAACTTCTTTTTTTGTTATGGAATATGTTAATATATATATATGGGCAAACGAGCAGCCTTGTTGGCTCCAATCTTTGCACTAAGGTATTTAAATTGATACTTGTGCCCATGTTGGGTAAGAATGAAATATGTAACATGAAATTATGAAATTTCTCTCAAATCCTTTAGATTTTGTGAAAGAGAGCTTAGAAAAGGAACACTAAAAGCATACGGACAAGATTTCCCCGTAGATAAATTTGGAAATTCATAAAGAAGAGCAGTAGAGACCAACAGATAGAGACATAAGGGTAACTATAAAGATTGCGGGTAGTCGAAAGCAGTACGATGCGTTGACGAGGAGTTACAAACAACAGCCTGTTTAAAAATAACAATGACTTTTTAGTTATCAAGGTATCATGGACTAGATCGGACATTCTTCATTATAAGTACGTGTATTATCAAAGAAAATTAAGTGCCGTAAATGGAATGAAAGCCAACAAACACTATGTATATGATCTTGATAAAATAAAAATAGATAGGGACATTTATCGACGATGATTACAAATAATAATTTATTTTTATGAATATTTGATGGATTAGTTTCAAGTCTAATGGCTAGTGTAATAGCCTATCATTAAGTTGCCTGAGGTAGTCATTTATGAATCATATACTTAAGAAATTACACAATTTCTTTCGAAAATGATTACTTAGCCGTAGCAATGTATCGCTTTGCTACGATTGGCTGTAATAATAATAATAATAATAATTTATTTTCAGACTAAGTCCATATAATTTGTTAGTAACAATATTAGCAAGCAATGCTGGTTTTTCAAATTTCATCTAACTACACCACTGTCATTGACCGAGTTTGGCGTTTATCAATAAATCGACCTTTGAACTAATTATCCCTAAGACATTGGTTTTCTATTAAAAGCCGTTGTCAATCTTTTTACCGTGTTGTTAAATAGCTGATGTTTTACATGATACATGAAGAAAAATTGTAAATACAAACAGTAAAATCCTATCATTTATTATATTTCCTTTCTCTGAATCGGTCGACTGGCAGAAACAAAGAAGTAAAAATAGAAATTAAGAAAAAGATTTATGAAGTAGTGATCCTGCCAAGTGTAACCTACGGATGCCAAACTTGGTCTCTGAAAAAGAAAGAGGAAGAAAAACTGGCAATTTGCCAAAGAAAAATGGAAAGAAGTATGCTAGGCATGAAATTAAAAGACCAAATCAGTAACAAAAAAATTAGGGCAATAACGAAAATGGAACTGGGCTGGTCACGTATGTAGAATGGAAAACAATAGTTGGACAAAAAAAGTAATGGAGTGTTTACCCAGATAGGAAACGAGGAGGAGAGGACGACAAAGAACAAGATGGAGAGACTTCTTCACACAAAGTGTTGGATCGGAATGGATGAGAACAGCTAGAGACAGAAAGCAATGGAAAGTATTGGGGTAGGCCTATGCCAAAGAGGCGACTATTACCTAAATATTTGAACGAAATAGTTTTAACACAATAATAAATAAAAAAGGATAATAAATCAAAATGTTAAATAAAAAATCAAATAAAATATATAAATTATGAAATTCCAATTTTTTTAAATGATTTTATTATTGTAAATATTGAAATGTGTAATTATTATTGCTTATTGATAATTTATAGAAATTCTTAATAGTATAATAATTATAGTGAATTGGTTGTAGATATATTAAGAGCATGATAAAAATAATTTGTGTATTTATCGATTATTGGTAGTAGAATAAAGGCTATTTTTATTTTATTTTATTTTTTAATACCTAATTTTAGAGTACTCTAAAAGTTTTATTACCATAGTTCATTACTATAATTACTACGCTTATTACTAATTAGCGCTTTCTGATCTTAAGGTATCAGTATTTATGACGAGTAGAAATTAAGGATTTAAAATATACCCAACTCAAAAATCTTTGAACCTTTAGAAAAGAGCTGCTGATCTTCGAACAGTTCATGTCCTGGATGGTAGCTTTACAACCTTTTTAAAACAATATTTAACCATTTACACGCCAGTTGTTGGGTTGTGAAATCAAAAATATTTTCGACATTTCTTTGATAAGACTTATGACGTGATCCAGTATTTCCATTTCCCACCTTCCAAACCAGGGATTCAAAAACTATTTTGGCCCCCATGGCCACATTACTGTATTATCTTATCGACTTTTTGGGTTATTTTAAAGTACAACAATGATACTTCCTACTACAATATTTATCATTCTTATAACAACTTAGTACACGTAACACAACTAATACAGTATCTTGAAAGTTCCAAATGAGAACTTGTGTAAATTAATAGGGGTCGATATCGACCACTTTGGAAATCCCTGTTCTAAGCGTTATCAAGGTATGCGATTAATAAATATCAATAGATTGATTTTTTGAAGGTTGATTTTTATCTGGTTATAAATTTCATAAAGGTAATAACTAAATATTTGTTAGTTTTTAAGATAATCAAAATACGTAACACAATGTAAATATAGTTATTAAATTAGATAGAATAAAATCTGAACAAAGTATTTACAATACATGTAAATGTCTAGTTATTTATGAACGTAGCGGATCATTCTATCCCGGTGGTTCATAAGACTTGTCAACAGAAATAAAAATAAAAAAACAAACAAATATTTTTGCCTGTCTACTGATTGTGCACTCATATGTAAGCGATCATAGGTACATGCCTCATCTAACCTACTAAGTCAATATATTAAATTTGCAACAAAAAAATTCTATTTGACAAATGCACACGACACAAGAAGAGATATTGAGTTCACATAAACTATCCGTAGTGCCCCCTATCGGAAGCATTTTAATCAAAGTATAACGATGATTGGTTGAGTCAAAACCGTAACAAATTAACAAACGTTCTTACTTTTACATTAATAATAATAATATTCTACCACAGTTACACAACGCTATCGAGTCCCTAACTAAGCAGAGCTTGTACTAATGAATAATAATACCTACGATTGTATTACCTACTGTTAGTAAGAAGTAAAAATAAATAAACGTCAGGGACGAAAGTCTACAATTTAATTAATGATACAGATTATCTATGACATCAATCAAAACTGAAAATATTACTAAATATAGTCGTACCTGCTATCATGTTTATTTTTTTGGCCACAATCTTCATGGGCGGGTCTTGCCTCAATTTCCTGACCTGAAGTAAACCATTGCCGATATATTGTAGTTTACCCGAGGGACCACGAACGTCAATAGTGTCATTCAATTTCATGCTCTCTAAATATTGAGACATTTTGCCACCGTCGGGAAACTTAGGGTGCACATTTTTGAAGTAAACCTGCAATTATTTAACGAATTAAGGATCATTTTTTTAAAGACATATTGAGTAGACGGGTCGTTTGATGGTAAGTGACTGCTGCCGCCCACGGACACCTTCGATTGAAGAGCCACAAGTGCGATTTGAAGTAAGTGTAAATTCTTGTAGCAATAGAGAATTTGTCCCACAGATGGGTTTTACGAGACTAAACATAATAACGTAAAACTATTTAATTTATAAAATTAAATGATGGCAATTCTTCTAAGCAGTCTCCATAATACAAACGTAAAAAAATTCAGAGTGAAGCTATACGCAGTCTTCGTTATCGACGATACGAGTCGTTTTCCCTTGAGGCAGATCAGACAGAGAAGTTAGTCCTGAGGTCCCCGTTTAGGTAGATGATGTCGATATTGACTTAGAAATAAATTTGTCCGTATTTAGATGTGTGAAAATACCAAACTTGGATACCTACTGAATTAATAAAACTGTTTATCTATTTACCGATCTTACCTTTATAACTAAGTCAACGTAACCCTTTTCTTCATCACTCGTCACAGGCGTGTATGCCCGGATAACAAGGTCATTGTCGATATTGGCTGATAAATGAATATGTTGACCGATGGGCAAACCTGGAAGTCAGGCAAAATACATATTTTTACAAATTTGAACTAAAGATATTTGGCGGTTATTTCAATGAATATTAACAAAAGGTTACAATCAACAATGGGATTAATAATTTATGGGTAAAGAATAAAAGGAAAATAAGAGGTTATCCTTACCCAAGATATGTTGAGAAGAGGGTAATCCGAACCGGAACCGCCTTGTATCATGACTGAGTTCTTGTCTCTCAATGAGAGGAAGTTTATACTTAATGTTAGGGTTGGCTAATGTAACAGGGCTTGAACTTCCGATTGGTCTTTTTGACTTTCTGCCCCATAGTAGATGTGCGAGTATTGTTGACAACACCACTACTGAGGTAACTCCTCCAATTATTGGCCACATCTGAAAATATAAGTGTCATGAAGTTTAGAACAATTTAGAAGAATCTCTTATTGACAATGTGATTGATAGGATGGATAATAAACAGAAGTATAATCGCAGCTTTACTTAAATTCTTGTGTAATTACTAAAATGTGAATCAAAGGTCGTTTGAGGGTGAGCTCAGTGTGTGTTCTCCTCCGTTATGACCTTCCTCAAGGCCTTATTCTTGGGTCAATAGTGGTTTAAATAAATCTGGTTCTAGAAATAATCTTCTTAAATTGGTATGTAAAATTAATGTACAATCAGGACTATGACGAAAGCGGAACACTACTTGCAAGGTTTAAATCTTAAATACTCACACACTTACACTAAATATTTCATTTAAATACCTATCATACTCACACCAGACAGAAAACTGGTAAAAGAAATACATAACATGTGCATATGTAAGTTTTGATTGAGAGAAGAACTAGTACCCATAACGCATGTTAAATCTACAACGAGAACCAGAGTTTGACACTATTCTTTAATTATAAATAAATGTATTAGTGTAATTATTTTTAATGGTAAAATAATAACCTGCTTAGTATCGGGTAGATTAAAAACTGAATACTAATATTTTGCTTTTACGAGAACAGTCAAGGATATCGTTTATAACATTACAAATCGTAATTTTCCCCAACTCGAGAGAACCTATTAAGTAAATATGAATAGACGTCGTTCACTAATGCACCAAATTCCTTCTTATAAAATCTAATTATAATGACCGGATTGCTATTCTAAATAATGATGAAATGTAATACAAAACTTAATTTAACACAAACCAAATTCACTGCCATGGTGATCCCCGTCTGCCTTTGTAAGAATAAACGTACTTATTGGCTAAAAGGCTACTTACAAATTCCAATATCAATTGACTATGTATAATATCGGATGATAAGGAATGTGGATAAAGTTATCAAACAATTGACGGTTTTACCTAAATATATATAATAATAAATAGTAAATTATGTTCGTCCATAGGAGTTTTTATTAAAAAAAAAAAGAAAAATTGAATGTTCTATTTTGTTAGCTAGATCCTCGCAGTCAAAGAGATAGTAAATAAGTATAGGTATACCCCCAATGAAACTTTCATTCGTAGCTGCTACATTACTGCCGAGTGTTACAGCCTTTTTCTAATGCAACACGCGTGCTTGTTAATTTCATGCTGCGAAATAGGGACGTTTCACAAGTAGCAAGTAAAAAACTTAAGTATTTTACATCTATCCACAAATTTAAATTGTATCAGATGTGTGTTGTACTAATTACTACTTTAGTCACATTAATGTTGCATGACAGTAAAATAACCGGTGAGGGGTCTATAGACCCCCGGTCGGAACGAAGTTCCTTTCGCTTTTTGATAGATGTTTGCTATACAGTCTGCTTTAAATTTAAAGCGTCGAAAAGAAGTCTTGTTACTCATCTCTCTCATCCACTCAGAGCGTGTAACGCGCGATAAGGAACTTCTTTCCAATAAAGTTTTACAGAATACTAGACGATTGCCATCTATACTTTTGTCTGCGCTTATTGATACTGCTGGGCTCTGAGTTGGCCTAAAAGTCAAGAATTGAGTTTAAAATTCCTATTTTAAACTCAATTCTTGACTTTTAGGCCAACTCAGTGGCGATATAAAATATAAACTCAACCACAATAATAAGTCAACTGTATTATCTTTTATATAAACTAGCTGACCCGGCAAACGTTGTATTGCAAAACACGGGAACGAACATTGTGACACGAGAATTTTATCTATAAGATTTTCGTGTCACAATGTTCGTTCATGTACTCCTCCGAAACGGCTTGACCGATTCTCATGAAATTTGTGCACACCGGGTAGGTCTAAGAATCGGCCGAAATCTATTTTTCATACCCCTAAATGGTAAGGGTGACCCATCCCAATTTTTTTTTGTTTTGCAATACAACGTTTGCCGGGTCAGCTAGTATTAGTATACATTTTTATCAATAGAAAATACTACAGGTACAGTTACTACGTAAGTCACGTATATGTATATCTGTCGCGTACGCTAGTATGTATTTCGATAAAAAGTACAGATAAAGATATCAAACGATTAGCGATAAGCTTTGTCCAAACCAAACTGTTTCAATGTTCATCATGCGTCTTGACCTTTCAATACAACATGCGTAACAAAAAATGCGTCAACATGAACGCGTGTGATCTTGTGCAAAACCTGGGCAGTATTTTTAGTGATAATAGCAAGTAAAGGAAAATTTGGATAAAAAAGTTCAACGTTTACACTTTATTTTCTCTCTTTTGTCTCGTAAAAGTCTCAGAATAATACAGGCGAAACCACAGCTAATGGATTAGCTTGAGTCAAGGGTACGCGCTAGTGTCAAGGTAATTTGAGCGCTTGTGCTGTTATTGGTTTCTCAGGTTTGCGTCAGATAAAGATCTATCAACAAACATCTTCAATACAACGATGTATTGTCGACAACACCAAGTATATACCTATATAAGTATTTCATCATCATCAGCCTTTTATAGCCCACTGCTGGACATAGGCCTATGTCCATAAGTATTTATGTACCCGTAATAGGTAAAGGTAATTATGGGCTAGCTGATTGGCTGGCCTTTGACTGTGTTCAAAGACTGACATAATATGTATATTAATATTTTTATATAAATTTAAATAAAATATAATTATAAACTTAAATATTGAGCGTGTTTCTGGGTTCATTTTTATTTCTTGATCATATTCGCTGTATTATATTTAGTGAGGAACTAAAGTAATGAAAAAATCATAGAAGAGGTTGATTAGTATTTCATGAGAATATCCCATGCATTTTTATGAAATAAATATACATAAATATACTTTAAATGATTGACATCTAACTAACATAAAGTTTTTTCTAATATATCACTTGCTCATAGTGACGTTAAGGAGTTATGTATAAATAGAATAAACTATTCTTGGACACTTTGTTTTTCTCTGTCAATCTGCTGTTTCATGTCCCGAGCCAGATGATGGTGCCAGTAATAGTTGAAGAAGTGGTTGAAGGATATTGTAGAGCTCAGACTTTACAGATTAGATAATACTCTACTACTACTCCAGCCTGCGAATCCAAGATATTTGGAATATCTTTTACGGAGTCCACTAAAATATATGGTTGTTTTATTTTCTTTGATTACAGCTGCTTCGATAAACTGTTGTGTTTGTACCATTGTTACACTGTGAGAGAGTGATACAAACACAACAGAGAGGTACCTGTTTAGTGTCACGACGTCTCGGGCAAAAGTGATAAATAATTTTTCATAGGTTTATTTTGATACGAAATGCTGTTAAATTTATATTCCAAAACTAAATGTGAAATGGTGAAGTCAAATTTACTTTTATTATACTTTATCAACTTAGGGGTCTCAATCTCTAGCAAACTAATGTAAATGTAATTAATGAACAACAAAGATAGACACTACCTAGGTGATTACGCCGTGTCTGATCCTCAAGGAGCCAACGCCTGGGTGCCACCACTGCGATGGCCGGACCGTGGACCCGGCGCTCTACACGCTGTTAGAATGCCCGGCGTGGGTGACGTGACCTCGTTTTGGCTATCGGAGTATGAATTCTCTCGCTCGCTGACATGATTGCAGCCATGGTATGGAGCGAGAGTGCGTGGAACGCCACCGTCTGGCTTTCCTTTCTAGGGTATACCTGGTTCTTCGGTTACTGGTACCTGGAGACGACGTGCGGTTTTTGGTCGGTTCGAGTCCAAAATAAACACCCCACTGGTGGGTGGCATCTGAGGGCAGTTTCGCACAAGAAAAAAAAGTTGGTTACGCCGTCGCCTCCACGTCGTTTATACTCACTTTTTGCAGAAATGTCGTAACAAACATACATTTGAGGTGGCTATGAGTACAACTAATACCGGATTGTTTTGAAGTAGTAGGAATTGAACTATTACAGGCTATATAAATTTCGCCAAACAATACATTAGCTTGAAATAATTTATTTCACCACAGTCAGAAAATAAAATATACTTAAAACAACTTTACAAAGCGTATAGTGTGTATAGTTTCTTAAATCAATGGCAATGTTTTGTATTAGATTTGTCACATTACGAAGTCGAATGTCGCACACTTTTGATCTTTTCCCCTCTTAACATGTAATCTATTTTTAGGGATCAGGGGCATCTAGATTAGATTATTTCCCGATTAGAGTCGCCAATACTCCCAAGAAGAAAAGAGTCAGCAACGCGAAAGTAAGTAAGACACCACTACTATGGCAATTATATTTTAGCGCTGTTAACGCTTGCCATCTGGTGCCTGTAAGAGAATGAAATGCAGGAAATATAGGGTTCAATGTTTTTTAAAAGAGAAATTAAGGAATTCAAAATATTAATTTTAATAATGTAACGGTATTTATCCTCATGTTCAAATACGATAACACAATAATTAAAAAACCACGAAATTGTTCATATATTTCGTATAAAGCACTTAAATATTATTTACAATTATTTATTATACTCCTGTATTTAAATTAAATTAAGTAAAAAATAATTCACCTATCTATATTTACATAATAAACTGATTTACATACATACTCGTACATAACACTTCGTTCACAATTATGACGCACTAGTCCTAATAATTTCTCTAATGCTTTGTGTCACTCCCGTTACAAGCACAAAAGTTCCAAACACTATTAAAACAACGTCTTTGATGAGAATCCACTTAAACTTGCCAAGTCCTCTCTCCCATTTGAAGATAAGATCCATGATAGAAGGTGCAATGAGGCCTAGAAATGCATAGAAAAATGCTCCTTCAAGACCGATAACTTGTTCAAGTCGGGGCAATGTTGCCGCTGCTGCCACTGTAACCGCCAAGTTTTGAGAATCAGTATACAACAAACCAATAGTATTATATGATTAATAGTAGTTATGATAAAATAATTTCATGCTTAATGCATCGATCCGTAGTCTCAATATTAAATGAATAACTTGCTGACTTGATGATCAGTGGAAAACACTCGATTGAGTGTATCAGCAAACAAATCCGGTAAGACTATTTACAGCTATCGAAATAAATACGAATACTACTTTGTGTGCTTAACGTTTTATAACATAACCGATATTGATATATATACCTACGTGATGCATCTATACTTCATGATTTAGTTATTGTAATTTTTTAATGGTTTTAGGTAAAGTAGTAATTTTTGTGTATTCGCTGCATTTAGAGTTAACAAATATTTGTACTTAAAAGAACATAATCCAATTCTATTTATATAATTACATGTTTATGGAAGTAAACGTTAACACAGGGAAATGTGTAAAAACTCAGATGTAGTCTATACTTGCAATGTAAGTGTTCAACCGTTTTTTATTATAAGCATTTCCAAGTTGTTTTTTACATTACATTAGCAAACGCAAAAGTCGCAGATATTTTATCTGATATGTAAACTGTAATACCTCATATAAGATATGTAGATTCGGGTATGGCGATATTAATAAAACAAGCAAATAAAAAAGATATTGAATCTAACCAGTTAGTACAGCGAATACAGCTCGCATGATGGCCTGTGCTATGTTGTGGTACTTCTGAGTGACATGTTCTTTGGTATTCCGCCACACGATTTCCATGGGCACGTAAAACTGTAGCGTGTATGTGAAGAAGATCGCCAAAACGATAAATAATTTTGCCATCAAAGCCGGGCTGAAAAAACAAGTTAATTATGAGTTGGGATTATTTTATATTTATTACAGCATGGACTTTGCACGTATCCTATTTTAAATAATTGTGAGACCGAAATAATCCTTAAATAGAGTTTATTATCAGTTTTCGAATAGACAAATAGGGTAATGCAGGACTAAGTAGTTATTGTAACAAAGAATCTCAAATAATTTCAGAAACATTTTTAACAAACAACACAAAACGGTTTTAACTTTAGGTTTTTCGAGGTAATTTCCAATCAATGGCTGGGCTGACATGAGTACTGTATCTACACCATTACGAGTTTCTAGTCGTGATGCCTATTGCCTTCATCAAATGAATGATTAAATATAGACGAGGTAGACTATATTGAAAGGCAAATGTTTTATATTTGAAGAAAAGAGAATCTCCTTTAATTCATACGGACAGTTGCCGGGAAGTTTGCGATCTCTAACTCGAGCAGATATTTATGATCATGATTTTGTTGATCAATCAAAGTTTGTTAACATTCAAAAAACCAACTTATTTATTGTCTCTTTGTTTATATTGTATGGTTATGAAAAATGAGTAAATCGACTGGCGACGCCTGTATTTTTGTTGACCATAATTTTTGTACCGTACAGTTTAACGTTGAAGAGATAAAGAATAAAAATATACTTACATTTCTCCTGTAGACAAATTCAGAGTAATGCTGCCCATTGCTGCATCACCATAGCGGATGTATCCGAGAACCCCCATAAACATGTACAGTAGTACTACGACTGACATAGTAATGTTCAATACTCCAGGACAACCTAAGAAATGCTGTGGGTTAGCCATAGCGTTCTCTACGGGGAGTACGACTCCGATACCCTCCATTGCAAATATAACTGTACTGAAATGAAAGCAAATTTCAAATGAATTTTACTTATATTTTATCACACAAATTAAAGGCAATGTAGGATATTACGCAAACATATTTTTCACTAGCCCGCAGTTCTACTTGCGTTTACTCCTATTTTGCTCTATCACTGAATCATAATAAATCAAAGATAACTTATGTCCTTTGCTATGTCACTGATAATGTGTATGCACAAGACTCATAATGATCAACAAGATTATACATTTTAACTCGGTGGTGCATTACTCACACGCTACATTTTTTACAATCTTCACTATGGCATGCTACGCACGCGTACTTATCGCCACCACCTTTAGCGCTATCTAAAATTATGAATTTAAACTTTGATTATAATAAGCTATTAAAAAGGTATCATGCTGGGTTAATTTATATTATTTATATACAATGTACATAATTAAGATTGAAGGCATCATCAAAAGGCTTCATCTGGAGTAGCTGGCAATGGTGGCTATGTAACTGACTAGGAATCACCTCTACGTTCTAGGTTACATCGAAAGTGCTTTAATATAAGGATACCGAATGAGAAATAAAGCTAAGTTAAATTGCAAAACAGCATCACAGCTCTAGTGCTAAATTTGACTTTGAAGATACACTACTTGTTCAATTTAGTGGTTTGTTTTTAAGAGTGAGTACCAACTGAGATAAAAAAATCCTTACCCGATAAAAAGTGGTAGTTTTCCAATTTCGACAGACATAGGCTGAGAGTCAATAGGCTTGAAATCCGAGAAAATGTAGTATAAGCAAATAAGAAATGTCAAAACAAGAAGTATGTTGGCGAATCCAGAAAATGGCGCAAGGTATTTTAAGTTCTTTATTTGAGTAAATAGCAAGATAGGGATGCAGAAGTACAAGAAGTATTTGGTTTCGCTGATTGTATTGTCCATGTAGTAATAATCAACTATCTGAAAATAAGTGAAACTTTGTTAATGACATAAACTGGAATGTATTCATTTGTATTTTCTTTTATTATGTTTTTATAAAAAGAGTACAGTCTTGAGTTTTTTTATCACACTTTGAATATCTTTATACAACGTACAGTAACAGTATATAAATCGGATTTATTTAGAAGAGATGTGTTAAACAGTTTGTTTTGAGATAAATTACTTGTCAGCTAGCCAAAATACCTGCTTTACGGAATCCACTAGTAGGATGACATACACTGCGCAGGCGCCAAGAATGGTGAAAGCCATAACCCAGTCTATAATTATTCTAGAAAGCATAAATAAAACATGTTATCATAACATTCACTTATCAGTCAATATACACAAAGTCACCTTTTCATTCTACCAAGTCGCAAAGCTACAGTGAAAACTATATTGTTCAGTTCGATGATTCAAATAGGAAACTTGGATGAACTAAAAATACATAATTATGTAAGAAGAGAAATATTTCTAACAGTGAAGGTATTTGAAAATATCATATTACAAAACAATACATCTTCCATCTACTATCTCTGTAATAGACCATGTGCGAGCCACATGGTCTCATCTTGGCAACATTTTACATGAAAATGTTTTTGGTGGAACACTATGTACAAATCAAGAAACCAGCTGTTATTTGGTAAGTAACTGCCATTAATTTTTGTTGCACACGGCGATCACATGATAAAATATACAATTATATTACATGATCTAATTTACTGCGTAAATTGTAGGAATTAGATTAAATCAGTATAATTAAGACCTATAATAGAAGTTCTTTTTTTTGGCTAATAAACTGTAAATGTAATTATATAAAAATGTTTTCAATGTAAATACGTACACGTAAATAAATACGTACTGGAGATACGGACTATATTAATATATTATTGATAAGTTCATGAATTGATGTAATCTTACCAGGGATAGCAGTAACATAGCGCTAGTACCAAAAAGTATTCTTTCTCTGACTTGTTGTGATGTATTTTCTTCAAAGGTATAATGCCACCAAAGAAGTATATATTTTAATGTGACAATTCGGACTTTAAAGGACAGAGATTTTACAACTTAAACATTGGTTTAATTGTTACATAATTTTGTTATACTTCTATTGCATGACTACATATGTGAGTAGCCAGTTTTATTGTGTAGTATTGTATAGGAACTGACAATCTTGTTGAAAGTTCGAACAAAAATTAAGTAAAACGTTATCATTAATTAAAAAAAACCATTGAATTTAGGTTAACAAAGAATCAAGGACACATTAAAATTAGACCATCGAATTACGCACCGTGCCGCTTTCGACATTTTCCTTAGTGGATGTGGTCCTGTTGCAAACACAGCTTCCACTGTTTCAGCATATCCTAGTGATGGAACTTTTGTTACTCTTGATACCTCTTGTGAAGTTTTGACCTTTAAAACAGACGAGAGTTAGCTATAAATAGGTGTATATGAAAGTGACCAAATTGTATTTGTAAATATGCGCAGGCGACTACCAAGACAGCCCAACGGTTAAACAAGTTAAAATAGCAGTGGGCCGGACAAAAGTTTATGGCGTGAAGACCGCGGATCGGCAAGTGCAGCTTTGGTCTTTTACCAACAAGGTGAACAAATGACCTTGTCTCCTTAGAGGTAATTGAGGAGGGCATGTTCTGCAGCAGACGTACTATGGCTTAAATGATAATGATGTACGATGTCCTCTCCAGTTCTCGCAGTTCAACTCCCACTTGACAAGATTTTGGTGGTTCTTATTCCTATGATAATCGCTAATAGTGATTTTCTCAGGCTCATTTAAAGCATATTAAAAGTAGAATACGTAGGCGATAACATCCATCCAGTGTTGTAGATAGATAGATGGATGTATTTATTTGCTTTGAGTATTGTTATTACAAATCACATAACTATAATGTTCCTTACATTTGTAGTATTTAGTGACTATAATTTATATCTCAATAGCTGTTTGTTACTTACTAATAAATAAACGCAGTGTGTACAAATGTATCCCAGTAATATGGTTCCGATGATGCCCACTACCGTGCCTGCATTCTTAAATGCAGCTGGCATAGCGAGAATACCGGAACCAAGAGAAGACTTCAGAAGATTCGCAAATGACCTTACATCTCTGAAAAAGTAATGTAAATTCTTTATTTATCATGTTTCATTAAAGTTTACGATTTGTTAATGAATCTACCTAATGATTTATTGAAATAATATATTGGAAGTCTTGTCTCCATTTAGAATTACATCGATTACAATTTGAATGAAAGATTGTTCTTACTTTTGATTTAGTGTAGACTGGTGAGCGTTTTTTTTTAAATAAAACTTTTCAATGAAACTCTTTGTTGTTATTTAAAATATGGAGACGGATGTGATGCGCAGTAATAAAAAGAACTACGTGACTTACGAGTTTGGATGTTCTAATTTTCTGTTTTGAAAAGGATCATACAAATTTGTCTCCTCATCATTCTCTTTACATTTCGTATTGATTGTGCTTATAGATATCGTCGATGGATAGATTCCATTTTCTGTTATGACGGCTCTGGAACAGACAGACATATTGCCATGTAGGTACACATGTAAACGAAGTGAATGTTCAGTAATTCGTATAGGAACACTATAGGAAGTGTTAACGAGTTATACATTTTACATCTGTATTTAGTTATAGGTTGTATAAGTTTTCGTTGTAGCCTGGCTCTACCACATGGACGCAGTAATGCACGTAAGGACTCTATTAGAGCAAACTATGAATACAAAATTAACGGAGCGTAGTCTAGTAGTCGTAGTCTCAATGCTCGTATCAGGTTGCTTGTCCGTCTGGTTTGGAAATGATACCTGTCTATAAACATTATAGTGTAAGTAGTACAAATGTACTTGCTCTTTGCGTTGCTCTTTAAGTCCTCCCCGAGAATCTTGATAATAGATAAATTGTTATTCTAGGTGGTGAATAACATACGAGTACCTAAGTATAAATATTATAGTGCATTGCTTGAGGATGAGTTTTCTGTCTTGTGTCGTTATCGTAATTTCTTTAAACTATGGAAATATATCTGACAGTAGTTTGTCGTTAAATAATATTTTAAACAGATTTCGCGATGTTTCAGTAAAGACATATGCTAGTGCACATTGCATTAGGTATAATACCCATATATTTAATCTAAATATTGTTTGCTAATTGTTTGTTCAGTGTCGCGTGACCAGGCCATTAAAAACTGTAGAATCTGAGTGGGTATTTTCTTTAGTAGGTAGGTAGGTATTTTTTCCTGTTAACGGAATATCTTAGTAAAAAAAAGTAAGTTAGGAAAAGGCTTTTATTATGATAAATTGACTTACAGATTCAAATCTAAACAGCAACAAATAAGGAAGATGTTACCGAAAAACTCTTGATAACAAGTTTCTATAAAAATGTATGACTCATCTACCCCATAACAAACTATCTAAAGTGTAAGCATCAAAAGGGATTTAGAATATTTTAATAGAGGAGTTGCCACGTAGTACTACTGTATATGTGTATGTCTATTTCCTGATCTATGACATTGAAATGCTGTATGCTCAATGTCTATATAATTAAACAAAAATCAAGGTTTTATGTTAGTTTGTTTAGATAATTATTTTAATCTTAACATTTTTAAAACTTGTTTTCAAAATCGTGTTTTACAAAGCTTACTACAAATATCTATATGTGCTAAGTTTCAATAATTTCCTATATTTTAAATTTTCTACATCTGCATATGTTTCTTTATTTAAATATTTATTGTTGCCATATATACTCATTTGTGTTTTTTCGTGCAACATTGAAATGACTCAAGAGTCCGCTTATTAGGTATACGACTTTTGGGTTTTTATGTAAATTAAATAAAACACCTACAATCAACCAAAAATCCTGCAATCTGGGTAAACCCTCATTACGAATTTTTATATTTTATAACATCAAGAATAAAATTGTTTCAATTTAGTTAATCTCAGTTTATCCTCAACGGCAGATAATAATTATATGTAAAGTACCTACACGTGTATTAAAAATCTACAGATCTAACTACTTAAATAAAATACACTAAAGTAAAACAAACGGATTAAATTTATTACATTAAAAGTCGTTCTACTGATAGCTAAGAGCTATTAGTAGTACGACTTTTATCTCGCTAAAACATAATTCTATTGTACTGCATAATTCAACTAAGGCTTAATTTATAAGTGTTACGATAATAGTTTTAGCAGAATAATAAATATCATCATTTCGCTAACAGTGTAGATCTCACTTTTTTTTTTTAAGCTGTTTCCTATCCATGGTGTGCAATAAAGATAGATAGATAGAGAGGTACCTCTCCATCTATCTATCTATCTAAAGGTATTTTCGTAGTAAAATATTACATTAATAGCAGGTTACCATTTGAATTTTCGGTTACAATACGATGTATCTGATCACATTACAGTCAACGTTGGAGGTTTAATACTTTACTACGAAAATACCTTTCATGACAGTTGTGAGACCGAGAGTCGATCGGAGTTGTGACCAAACTTTTATTGCGAGACTTGGCCTTCAGATTCATTATAATTTGATGCAGAGAACCTTTCTATTTAAATAGGTTTTAGTATTCTTGTAGGGGTTGCTTAAACAGCAAATGTAAAAAATTACCTTCGGCCGCCATCGAAGCCGATGATTCGTAACCAGTTGAGGAGGAGGAAAAAATGATCTTTGTACGACACCAGTTTCGAACCACGATCTTTTTTTTCATTTTACGAAACCTACTAGTTACGGTAGACGTATACATGCAATACAGAAACTTATGATTCATGAAATATCAAATGTATAATATCTGTCTGTGTCTGTGTGTGTGTGTGTATATGTATAATAATAATATCGGTCTTTGATGTTTGTCCCGTGAAAGTGGTTACCTACGAGTATGGTATTGGTATTTAAAATAAAAAAATATCCTCATCCGAAACTGGTTTCGTACAAAGATCATTTTTTCCTTCTCCTCAACTGGTTACGAACCGTCGGTTTCGATGGCGGCCGAAGGGAAAAAATGAGGCTGGCTACCAAATTGTTATTTTTATTCCAAGGTTACGTACTTAAATGATAATCATTCAAGTCGAATTGAATCGAAATTGGTAACAATCAAGGAGCATTGTTTGAATTTATATCTGGAGCTGAAAGAACAGAACAATGTCATTGAATAGTAATGAAGTAATGATGTTTCACTTTCACGTCACTTAAAAAAATATCACAAGTTTTTTATCATGATTATTATCTTATGCACTAGTAGTAAAGTAAAGGATATAACTAGATACTACCAAGTTCACTACCAACATGTTGAATATCAACAGTGAAATCACTGTACTACGGTTATTTATATGAAAATGTGACATTTTAAAAGCCTGACTTTATGATTTTTATTTAAAGGGTGTCTGTCTGTCTCTCTGCCTCTCTGTGTGTCTGTTTGTTACGTCTTCACGTAAAGACATAGGATATTTTTTAGCTGAAGCTAGTGTAATAGAAAATGTAGTTGTTACAATTTGTGACACCTAGGACATACCATTTATTTATTTTTTTACAGAATCGAACAGATATACTATAGGTCTAGGTAGTGGAACTAAGGATTTCATCTAATTTTATTCTCACCACCTTAATTCCCTAACTATATTATAAACTAGTGTGAAATTAACAGATAGCAATCAGTTCAGAGAAAACAGCAAAAGTGAATTAACATTTCATACTTAGCGGTTTCAAAATCTGAAGTAAGTAAAATATAATAAAAGTAGAGGATAGTTTGAAAAATATCTTAGAGTAATGAAAGAGCGTAGATAAATATTTTAATCTGTAAAACATTTTTATGGAGTTCTTCGAACCTATAACATTTTTATTCATCCCATTTTGGCTTGGCAGTCAGGACCACAGTATATTATACTAGCTGGTACCCGAGACTTTATTTCGCGTGGTATTTGAAAAGCGCTGCCTTAGTGGGTTCGATTCCCGGACCGGCAAAATTTTAAAGTTTTTTTTCTGAGAGGAAAAATGGCATAGTTTCCTCCTTATAAGACAGCCTGGTAGTAAAATGTTATCGAAATCGGTCTAGCCGTTTAGAACATTAGCCGGCACAAACAGACATACAAAAAAAAACTGGTTTTTAGGCATAGGTATCGTGCAAATAACCGTGTCAGCTAAAAAAAACCTATTATTTTGTCATTACAGACACTTAAATTTTATTTATTTGTATAGATTTTTATATTGTAAAAAGGTAAATATTTGTCGACAATAAAATTTACTCATTTAAAACACAACCTAAACTTAACAACACGGTTAAGAATGAGACTACTCTTACTGGGTTGATACGGTTGATAACACATTAGTCGTAAAAACTAATTTAATATTGCATATTTAAAAAAGAATCCACTCATGTGATTATGAGCACGGTGATTGCATGGAACGTGAACAGAACGTGGCCATGTAAACAAACCTAAATTAAATACGAGTAGGTAGCTTGTTTTCATTGAAAGTTGACATATTTATAAACTGAAAACAATATTTAAAAAATACGTCGTGACATTGGGAGTTATGACAGAAATGTCTAGCGAGCCAAATCATATCGTTTAAAACTACTGTCGTTACTATTTGTAAGTTTTTTTTACAATGAACACTACATTATTGTATTACAAGCTACAGGTATTTTTAGTTCTCTTCATTACAATCTATAGGAACTGCTTCTCTATATTCTTGAAAAACATATTTTGCTACACCTTTAAATGACTTCAACTGTACCGTTGTTACGTTCAAGTAAAATACAAAGATTAGTAAAGATTTATGAATATGAGTTTGATAATTACGAATTTTCAATGCCAAGTATAACTTGTTTATAATTAAAAGCGTTACCTCAATCGCAGACACGTCAGTGTCATAGAACAAAAAACATACTTACGATTTAGCCTTTATGTTATAAAACCGCTGTTTTTGTTTTTTTTTGTTTGTTGTTATTTTTTGTTTAGACAGCTCACGCACTAGGAATAGGTACATCCTGTGTCGCGGGGGACGTCTTTACAAACTACTACGCCATCCATGCAGTCAAAATTAATATATCTATACTCTATACAAATAAATGAAATTGGAGTGTCTGTTTGTTTTATTAAAATAACCGATTTTTACTAAATGCATATGTATGTTTACACGGTACATATGCCAAAATAACATTTTTTACAATTTTTGTCTGTCTGTCTGTCTGTCTGTTTGTTCCGGGTAATCTCTGGAACGGCTGGACCGATTTCGACGGGACTTTCACTGGCAGATAGCTGATGACATAAGGAGTAACTTAGGCTACTTTTTTTAGACTAGCTTCGCCCCGCGGCGTTGCCCGCGGTTATAACAACAAACGTGGGTAACACCGCGGGTCTCAGCTAGTATTAACTATTAATAAGTTATAACTTGTTTCTTACTAATCTGTTATAACAGATTAGTAAGAAAAAAGTTTTCTGATTGAAGAGCTGTAGTACATTACTGCTTCCTTACAATTAGGTAATATGCTTCTTACATACATCTTCAATTCATTTCATCATAATTAATTAGTGTGTCAAGTAGCTTACAAACTTGTTATGCTAATTGATCAAATAAAACAGAATTAGCTTGTTTGATTATCAAATAGAAATGGCTAAATGTGATGGTTAGTAAGTAAAAATTCGTATAATGAGGTTAATGGTTTCGTAACTACATGTCATTTGAGTGACATTAACCAGCACCTACCTAACACACTATGGGAATAACACCAACACATAGTCATACATAGGTTCTATACCTGAGGTATAGAAATGTAATGCGAGAGAGAAGTAAAATGTAGTGAACCAGGTTTTATATATGAAAGTAAGAGTAGAGGACGACTAAAGAAAAGATGGATGGACTGCATAAAATAAAATATGACTAGAAAGAAGAAGGCAATATCTAACCAGTGATGAAGGATAATTCAAGAAAAAACCTCATTGCGCCGACCACAAATAAATTTAGAAAAAAAACTATTTTCAACAATTTAGATAACTGTTAGACTCTGTGTAACTCTGTGTGAGTATCCACCAGTATCGTCCAAATTGCTGCCTGCTTTCTAAAAGAAAGAAACTTTACGTATTAATAATGTCACTAATAAAGTTATGTAACAATATTTTAAAAATTCTTGTTTTGGCGGCATTTACGAGTACGTACTTATTCGTAGATTAATGTAAATAAAGTTTTAAAAACACGTTCAGTAGTCTGAATGACAGACTGAAATATTAGGAAACATCTCGTCGATCAGGCAACTTAATTAATTATTTTGTAAAGGCAAAATTGATATAGTACATTTTATTACGTCTTAGCATGAGTCCATGCTGATACCACGCTATATGTAATTAATGTAATTCACGCATGACGTGGTTACTTGTATTGAAGTAAGAAAGTGTAAAATCAGGTTTACTTTGCTGATTAAAAACTAGTTACTATGCGTTGAAGTATCCAGTACCTACTCCATAAAAGTATATTCAGGACAATTAATAACACAATTTTGGCGCCAATTCAGTTTGCAGGGAATGTGGGATTTACACAAAATCTCTACAAATAGTTTAGAGACCAATATAACAGCTCTGCATCAAAAAAATGTAGGTAATAAAATTATAGGTATATTATATGTATTTGGTTGTTAAAACTTGGATTACTAAATGATAAAGGAAGTTAAGAATACTGAAAAATCTTTTTAAATAATTGTCCAAACCTATAAATTAATTGTATGTACTTTAAAATTTAAACTTACCTTGAACTGAACTCCTTCATGTTGTAACTGTTCGACATTGTCACTGATTTAAAAAGTAATGTTATGATGTTATAAATCCAAAGTTAGCACTTGATTTATTGTAGGTTTAGCTAAATGTTTCTGTTTTTGATAGAGACCGTATGCATGTGCGCGCGAGCGACATATTGCGTGAGCGGTGACACAGTCAATGATTTTTAGGTATTTCTAGTGTGCAAATGCTCATCTTATAAATAAACAACTCTCGCGAGCGCTTCGGGGAGTATCTTGGCGTCGCACTATGGAAAACGGTAGGACAACGGCATATCAAAATAATTTTTCTCAAAAATCGTAATTGACTCACTTTAAACAATTATTGAATAGTACAAGAATGGAACTTAAATATAATGTAGTAATTTGGTATGAATTACAATTGTAATATATTTTTTTAATACCACAAAGTGTTATTCTTAAGAATGTCTATTTCAGGTTTGTTCGCTTGAATACTTTAAAATTTATTTATTTCAAAAATTTGTGGGAATTGTCATAGTGTTATACATTTCTAAAAAGCCCATTGTAAGTAGATTTTAAAACAATTAACAATTGGAGGTTTTATTATTATATTTCTATGTTTTTATTTAACAAGAAGTAGGGGGAAAAAAGGACAATTTCTTAACTTCATCGAGGCTTTTGACAGCTCCCGACACTACATTTGATGTTGTTTTGTATCGTAGGAATTCATAAATAACAGTTATGGAACATCGGCTATGACTGGGTGCTTTGTGGTGCCTTCCTGGTTGGTGTCGCCCTCACGTGTTATGCGGATGACACGCTAGTGCCGGCGTGCGGCAAGACACACCGTGAGGCAACCCTAAGGCAATGTTGCCTAAGTCGAAGGGGGGGACCGGCGGCTGGGTCTCGAGGTGGCTCTGCACAAATCTGAGGTTCACAAATCTTGTTCTTCCAAGGGCCTCGGAGGAAGCCACCTGAAGGAACCAGCCTCATAGTAGGAGGCACTCGCATCGGCGTCGAGCCCTCGATGAGGTATCTAGGGCTCGTACTCGATGATCGATGGGACTTCGGATATCATTTCCGAGGTCTGGTCCCCAGAGATTGCGTGGAAGTCCGCCGTCTCCTTCTGCGAGCAAGTTATGCTTGCGACGGAGATGGCAGAGCGAGACCGGGAGCGGCTTAGAACTCTCCCGCAGACAACTCGGGCGCCGGAGGTCCTTCATAAGCGCAGGCCTGGGGGTGACAGGTGAGGCCATCTGTCACCCTAGCAGAAGCAGGCCGGAGTGGCGGCGAGACGCGCTGCCGAGCGTGCGCGCCCTTTTAGGAGCACAAAGGGAACATGGGGGTTCCCACACAACAGAGGGTGTCATCTACACGCCGTGGATGACCCGAGGTACCAGGACCATATTGTTTATGTAATAATAAATAGTAAAGAAAAATAAATTTTATATATTCGTCAAAAAAATATGGTTGACAAGATTAACTGGTTGACTAATTAAACCACGTCATTTTTACATATTTTCTCAATCTTTAAATGATTTGCCTTGTCAAGCCGTTTTAACATGACACGATTGTTTGATGATGAGTTTGCTCCTCATCGTGTTCACAAAAAAATGGCCAATTTTCATTGGATCTTTTTTTTGTGTTGGACGGAAATATACCAAAAACTTACTAATTGATTTGTTTTTGTTTGGCAAATGTGTAAAACTTTCATTGAGCAAGACAAAATTTTATATTACATACATAGATAAATCAAAAGGTAGAAATCTTTCTCCCTAATAATAGTAATAATAATATATATAATAATAGTAATAGTTTCAATGTTACAATATTAATATCATGTTAAAAAGAGCTTTAAAACAATATTTCTGTAAAAAGTCACAACGGGATACAATCATTTAGTATGCTGCTTTGACGCGGTATAAAATGTCAAAATTTGCCAATTAGCTGCAACATGAACTAATTTCATCACAATTGATTTGACATATTCAAATCTGGCAGTCCTGGCTCAATCACCTTGAATTGAGCAATTTGACTCTACACCGCAGGAATTTACTTATTAAAATTATGTCAGAAAGTGTGTTGTGTAGAAAGGGTTTTAAAATCAGTAGACCTAGATCGCCACCACGAAGGAGTGGTGCGGATGAACCACTTTTGATTAAGCTAAATACATATTTTGACGATTTACCTTTCACCACTTGTTATGTCTTACCGGTTATTGTTGTTAAGAAGTAGGTTTGAAAACGGATACTTAATATGCATTGGACAGTTTAATAAATATAATAATAGTCGTTTAATTAGATATATGTAATATAAAATATTTTTTATACTTTTATATATTTGGCTTCCAATAATTACTTGATATGCTGGATAGCTTTTATTTTGTAGGCAGGTGATTTAACTTTACTGAATGTTTATAAAATAGCCATACTGTACCGTATTGTTTCGCTAAATAGAAATAGTGTACAATATTGTATAATTCCTGGGGTAACAGCTCAGGGCCTCAATTCTGCTATTACGCCAAGCCAGTGTCACACCACTGACACACTATTGAGATGCCATCGAGTGGCCGTTGGCATCGGTATAAATATCGGTAGTTGAAAATATATTACGCTTTTTGAGGAAATGATTTATTTGTTTTTATTATAATAAATTATTAAAAGAAATAAATCAATTAAAATAACTTATTAAAAATTTAAATTAAAAAAAAAGAAATTCTAAATAAAAATAAATTATTAAAGAATAAAATATAAAAATTATAAAAAAAGAAATAAATAAATTATTAAAATAAATAAATAAATTAAATAAATTATTAAAAAAAGAGAAATAATTTATTGAAATAAAAAATAAAAATAAAAAAAATATTTAAATAAATAAGTCATTTCCTTATTTAATAATTTAATAATTTATTATAATAAAAACAAATAAATCATTTCCTCAAAAAACGTAATATATTTTCAACTACCGATATTTATACCGATACCAATGGCTACTCGATGACATCTCAATAGCGTGTCAGTGGTATGACACTGGCTTGGCGTAAACATAAAATAGCAGAATTGAGGCCCAGGAATGGTACAACTTCGTGTGCTATGTCGTGATCGTCAGAATGAATACGCTATGTACATTTTCTAGTTGTGCAGTATTTCTTTCACAAGACTTGACAACTGATGGTGATAGTATTGCTTTTTTATCATACGTGTTTTTGGTTAAGAATTTTTTATAACTCATAACCGTTAGCTGCTTAATATCGTTAAAATAACGTCTTGTAGAAATCTGACCAGGAACTATCACTCGGTGATAATTTCGAAACTATACTTCAATCTATTATTTACATTTGGCACACACTATAGTCTTTTTATTTATAAATAGGTATAGAATACCGATGTGTGATTATTGCTAACACTCTTTGGCAGAGAATTTAACCCGCTGAATGAAATTCATAAGTATGTATGTTTGTATACCGACAATATTTTTAAATTTGTGAGTCAGTGTTAATGTATGACATAATTAATGTATGTAAATAACTCTGATCCCTAAGATACAGGTGTACGTATCTATTTTAGCTGTTGGAAATACGACAATATGTGTGACAACTGTACAACTGTATTGACTATACTGTATCTATTATGTATGAATAATTTTTATTAAAACATTATTATTATAATATATATAAATGTTTCAATGTTTTTTGTTACACATAGGATCGATGTCGATGTATTAAATTAACCTGATAATAGTGTAGAAATGTACATTTTATTTAAACCAATTTACCGATTAATAGCATGATCCTAAACAATCGATCCAAACATTGTGTTTAGGTGCTCCCAGCTCGTCATGTGAAACGCCGGAGTATCCGACCGGCCATAATTATTTATTAACCTGAATATTTCAGAACTTTCATGACATTATAACTTCTTTATTTAAGGCAATAGAATTAAAATATAGATTACACTAACTTTTTTCTTTCCATCCAGCTTATTTTAAAATATGCAGGTTCTCATCACTTCCCAAGAAGCTTTCGTTATATAAATTACCACATGTGATGGCAATATAAATGAACGTAGATTTGCTACAATTAGAACAGAGAAACGCCCTGCGCATTTGGCTTCAAAGTGGATGATTTCAACGTCGTGTCTCGTCGTCTAGTCTAACTTCCCCGTATCTAGTTATTTTAGATTATATTTACTCTTAAAAGATCTGTCCACTCCCCGACTGGGTGCGCCCATAAAGCAAATTGTTGTGCGCTGTAATGTAATGCTGTGATTTGTAATCGTAATTCCGAAAACTAGATTATTGAACAAATATTGATTTCACATGGTATATAGGTAAAATCGTTCGCAAGAGCGAAAACTAAAAACAAAAGAATATTTCTATTTCTTTACCTTACCTACCTTGGTTTCGGATTGCGTTACACTGGTAGTTGGGTTAATCGCTATTTATAAGTGTCTTCTTTCCGGAAAAAAATACTGCCGCTTGTGTTTCTTCAGGGATATGTCCCTTCTGTCAATATTGAGATTATATATTCCTTCTGTCAATATTCTTCTGTAAATATTGAGATCTGTTTTTACATGTCAAAACAATTAGTATAAATTACGTTTCTTACAAGTTCTTAATATCTTATGAGTTTAAACCGTAACTCGTTGTAACAATACTTTCTATTCATGCGTACAGAACTTTATACATAATTAAGCACATAACCCCTTTTTCTATCCCTCTCAAACAGTACCAACTTTCTGGAAAAAAAGTTCCCTATATCATTATCTGTGTCCTCGGCAACGTGTATGCAAAATTGCCCTTTAAATCTAAAGCGATAAGTTCCAATGTTTACACAACGGACCTTTGGCCGCATTATTTCTTAAACGAAATGTGATCAATTCGTATACTTACTATAATAAATTGTACTAAATATAAGGTCAATGACTAAGACAATCAATGTCAATTTGTCCGTATACCCACCAGACAGATTTAGCTTCACTTGTATATCTATACTCAGTGAAGTACACTTTACTGTTTGAACCGACGACCACGAGTTACGATTGAACAAATAGATTCGACGAAATGAAATAGTCTGGACAATTTTGATTTTGATTAGAGACATGACGATATAATTCAATTTTTTTTAACCGGTCAAGTATGTTTTGCCACGTAGTTGCAAGTGAGAGGGGCACTTAAAATTTGCGCTAGTTTATTTTTTTGCTATTGGATAGTTGAATCGAAAGATAATCTGTACACTCCCACTCACTTAACGGTTTTAAAATATCAATCCAACAACATTTCACACTATGGGACAGACGAGGAAAACAGACAGACAGACCAACGACTTGCACTGATATTCTTGTGCAAGGCATATAGGACGGTTAGCACTGAGACTTTGCCGGTGCTGGCGGGTGTGCTTCCGGTCGATCTCGAGGTGTAGAGGCGTGCAGCCATGTACTATTCAAGCCAACAAAACATGGAATACAATTTTTTGGGCGCGCGAGATCGCGATAAGATTACAAGATTGCTTCACCAGCAGTCCGATGTCTATAATGACCTCATAAACGAATGGCAACAACGCTGGGGCGACACCTTCACCAGGTCCTTCCATCTGTTCGCGAACGGTTGTCAAGGACATGGCTTGAGGTGGATCACTCTGTCGCTCAATTTCTTACAGGTCATAGTAACTTTAAGAGCAAACTGTATTCATTTAAATTAGTCGAGTCACCAATGTGTCAATGCTCAACACCTAACTCATCATATCCCCTGGGAATGTCATCAACAGCCTTTAATAGTCCACTGCTGGACATAAGCCTCTCCTTAGAAAGGAGGTTTTGGCCTACTATACCACGATGGCCAGACGGGTTGGTATAGGGTTTGTGTCAAGTTTTCTCTCTGCAATGTTGTTGTTCTGTGTAGTTTTTTCCCTTAGTTGACTGTTACAACACCCACGGGATGAATAGGGGTGGTGACAATCTGTATTCTTAATCCGTCACCACACGGACGGTTGTATCTGGGAATGTAGTCTTTGGTATAATGAACATAATATAATGCTGAATAGCTTGCAGGTGTCATCTAGAGCTGTATACTATGGGGATCTTGTGCCAACTAGGGTGAGTTTCCGTGCGTTTAGGCGGTTCTACCAAACATATTATAGAAATCAAATATAGCTTACTTAGGATCCATAATATTTAGTGGCCGTAGTGCTTCCCTGTTTAAAAAGGGTGTATCTCTATTTTACTTCATTTTGTCTACCAAATAGGGAAGTGGATTTACTACATTTCCAACTCCTCCAATTTTCTTCTGATTAATTTGGTTGCGGGTTCCAAGACAGTTTAATGTTTTTTCCTGGGATTTCCCGAGTGTCATAACTCGGTATGTTCGTGTGATCAGTGACCCACTGCTGTTGATTAATTTAAAAAAGAAAAATTACCACTTTGTGACCTTGCTTATGGTTAACCACTCCACAGTATAAATTTCTAGCAGGCAAAATTGTAATTGTTTTTTGTTAGGACTACGGAACCCTAAAACATAAATAAGATCGTTGTATTTGAAAATAGATTTTCGAATTGCAATACTACGTTGTTCGTTATGTTGGGCTAACAGAGTGTATATTTAGGCATTTGGTGACGTAGACGTAGTATTGGAACCGATTCTACGTTTGACGTAATTGTATCTCTGTAGTATTGCAAAGTACTGTTCAGTTCAAAGAACTTTTCAGAGACCAAACTGATTGTACAGCCGTATTTTTTTTATATTAGAGGGGGCAGACGAGTCACCTGATGGAAAGTGACCATCACCACCCATGAACGTCTGCAATTCAGTAGTCACAAACGCGTTGCTGACCTTGTATATACAGTTTTTGCTGAATTGGCTAAACTACAAAAGTACTATTGGTGTCTGTTACCCAGCATCCTTACCAAACATAATGGTTTTCCATTAAACTATAATTTGATTACATTTTTTAAAGTTCTTTACCAGAATCTTTCAAAGTCACATAAGTTCACATGAATTATAACGTGATGACTCCTATTGAGAGGAGTGAATATTTTGAAATGTACCTATTAGTCATTACTAGTGTAAAATAAAAGAAAGTTAGGTATATTCTTTGCAGAATTTTTTATTACGTATACACTATCACACATTCATTCATGAAATTACTCTGACCCAGATTTGACAAGTTTTATGATATCCATTATAGTGACAGCTGAACCACTGACTAAACTCAACATGCCGAATAACACGATTAATATGTTTTTGTAAAGAACCCAATTATATTTGCCAAGGTCATCCCAGCGAAACACAGTTTCAATGATTCCTGGTATGATGAGGCCTAGTGTGGAATAGAAAAGTGCGCCCACCAAATCTATTATTTGCTCTAAGTAGGGCAATGCTACGCCCACACCACCTGCAATAAAAACGTACGAATAGTGAGTATGTTTGCTACTAAGGACGGCTATATTGCATTTTTTGGCTGACGTGTGCCTCTATTTATTATCAGTATATTTCGAATTTATTTAATTTTCTTTTAATTTCACGAAAGCCACTAGACATCTCATTTAATATAATATTTTCGGATATCTGACACACAACGCCATCTAGTTTTAAACTAAGCAGAGCTTGTACTATGAAAGCTAGATTGACTGATATACTACCTTTATACTTTTTTTTTTGTAAATACATAAATATTTTATATTAAACACCCAACTCCGAAACAAATATTTGCATATCATACAAACATTTGGTCCGACCCACTCGGGTCGGACCAAATGTTTGCATGTGAGCACTCGCTCAGCACAGCAGTCGCTGAAAGTCGAAGAAAACATGGTTTGAACATTTTATTAAATGTTTGAAGTAAAAAACTTATATTGTATCAATTGATGGTGTAGTTTCTTTTTGAAGTAAACCTTTCTGTATTTATGTTTTATTTAGTGTAACTGAATATTAGCTAAAGTACTATAAGTACTTTTTACTAAAAAAGTGAATATTCATTGTCATTTTTTTTTTATGAATGAATTTTCATATTTATTGTACTCTAGAGAATGGATAGGATCGTAATCTCTAAGGAAATTATATTGAACTTCACGATATTATTATAATAAATTTAACGGTTTAGAACTTACCGCAAAAACAAACAACAAAAGCCCTTACACCAACTTGTGCAATATTACGATACTTTTCTTTGATATAAGGCTCCGAGTACCTCGTGAATATATCGATGACGACGAAGAAGTGAAGAGGGTAGGTGAAGAGAATAGACACTGAGATAAATATTTTGGCACAAATGGCTGGCCTGAAAATAATATAAATTTATATTTCATTCTGTTAGGACTACACAAACAAAAACTATTTATTGTTGTCAGTCAGTTGTCAGGTAGATATCACGAATTTCGTTTTTTGAATATGGACGTTTAGTATAGTATATTGAAATATAATAGTAAAAAAATTACCGAAGAAATTAAAGATGAATTATCTTTCACAACATGCTTATAATATAACTTCCTAAAGATAGTCAGAAAAACATCCATTCATTCATTGAAATAATCTTAATGGGCTTGAAGATTTTGCTCTCTGTATATTTACAACAGATCAAGTCATGAGCAGATTAGACGCAACTTTTGAGTTTAGCCACATTTCGAAATTTATTTTCTAGCTTATGTAAGAAAGTTGTACATTTTATAATTTTTTTGAACCATTAACGTTAAATACCAGTCATCCATAGGTAAATTCAATGTAATAGTTCCTCTGAGGGTATCGCCGTATCTGAAGTAACCAAACAAGCCCAGGATAGTGTAAAGCATCATCACAGTGGTCATGGCAATGACTAATACGCTTGGACAACCCAGAAAGTGTTGAGGTTTCTTCATTGTATTCTCCACGGGCATCACAACTCCTATGCCTTCCATTGCGAAGATAACAGTTCTGTAGTGTTAAAATTATATTCACATTGTTTAAATTATACAGAATTAGGTTGACAAGTGACTAAGGTTTGAATTAATAAATCAACTACTTTTTTTCAATAACACAACTCATTGTAAATAAAATTTTCTAATTTTATTTACAATGAGAGAGAACAAAACTTCTATTTTTATTTAGTGTTTTTTTTTACCACGATTTAAATACTTCCTAAATTAAAAAGAACCAAATTATGGATCAACGGTTATCACGCATTATTTTACATAAAATAAATGAACCATAAGGTAGAGCAATCCATTACACTTATATAAGTAAGATTATGAATTCCTGAAATAAAATTATCCAAGATTACAAGGTCCATTACTGCATAAATGGGCATGACAAAAAAATTTTTTTTTTTTTTCGGAAAAGAGAAAGTAAAGAAATTAAGAAAGAACGATCAGTCAGATCAATCAGAAGATAATCAAAGAAACCAGAAGAAGGTTCTAAGAGGCGAGAATTGAGTATTCTGCTGGGAAGGTTTCTTGGGACAAGAAGTGTATTATTTGCCAATTTTCTTACTGGGATCGATATTGTAAAGAGCTGAATAAACTTAAAAATTTCATTAAATGAAAACGTAAAAAATTGGAAGTTTAAATGGGAAATTTTCAATTACCGACACTTGCCGGTGCTTGCACTGAGTGACTATTTTCTTTTTACAAACTTGAAAGACGACTTGGATATCCAGCAGTTCAAATGAAGAAATCAAGAGGTCCGTCAAAGTAAGTCTTAGGTGACTATGACGAAAAATGGAGTCAAGGAATGAACACATATTTTCTTTCAACCTAAAACTTGCTTTACTCGGGAAACTTACTTTTTAATACGTATGTACTGTAATGTCGTAATAAAATGGGTGATATGATAAAGAGATTTGTTTACATTATGTCTGATGCAGTTAAAACGAACTATATTATTAAATGACTCACGACAAAAATGCAGGAAATCTTGAGAAGTGTCCAACAGCAACCTTGTCAGTGAAGGTTAATTTTTCTCCAAATATGTAATACAGGCAGATAGCAAACGTAGCAAATAGCATAATATTTGCCAACAACGAAAACGGTGCTAGCCATTTAAGGTGCCTGATCTGAACCATTAAACATAGGGGAACTAGTAGAATTAAGCAATAAAACTCCACAGATAAAATAACAGTTGAGACGTAAGTGTCCAAGAGCTGAAACAAAGAATGTTATTTATTGCCAAATTTTCCTTTATATTGAGAATTGCTTAAGGTTCATTTTTATCTTACACTTAGAACTGTTTCTTTTTAATGTCTTTTGGCAGGGAGTTATCAATTTACCATTCGACATGTTATTGCAGTAGGTTTAATGAACAATATAGGTGTATATTTATATATACACCTATATTGTTCATTAAACCTACTGCAATAACATAATTTAAATTTTAAAATTTAAATAATCTAGCTATTTTAAACCGATGTTGAACCTTGATTATTAGATTAAATTTAGTTATTAACTTCTTCACATTACTCTCCTACACTTGTTTTTTAACACAACGGTTCAACACAAGGTACAAAAAATAGAAGCACAAGGAGTAATGAAAAATAAGTAAAGAATAATATAAGCATCCTTGAAGTTTCTTTAAAGCCTAGAGGGAAAAATTTGATTATTAGTATGCCTACCTGTTTGATTGAAGTAGCTATTAGTACAGTAAATATACAACACACACCGATGTATGTAAAGAACAAAGAAAATTCTGCAAACATTCTGAAAAAAATAAAGTAAGTATTATGCCATGTTCGGTTATACGAGTGTCATGGAATAACATGAATAGGACCAGAGGATTTACTCCCGATTAAAGTCATTAAGTTTAAAGTTTGAGAGGAATCTGTAAAATTCCAAGGGGTTTCTGCTGATTTTGTTTAGAGCCACTCGCCTGATGTCAATCTTTCTTACGAATGCAATCGGGTTTGGACGGGGCAAACGGATAGTGCGAGGGAGCTAAGGTAAGGACCCTGGCCATACGTCGCTTTCGAAATGCATCTAGGACAGGGACATTAACTAGCCATTCTAATGATACTTGCCCTCGTGACCTAAAATTCATTCTGGAAACACTACGTAAACAGTATGGAAACTTTTTTGTTTCAAGTTTTCCTTCTCTTTGCAGTGCTGTAGCCCTGCGCAGTTTGCTCCCTTAGTCGGCTCTAACAACACTCACGGGTTGAATAGGATGACTAGGATGACTCTGTATTCTTAATCCGACACTACACGGATCGTTTCTTAGTGTAATTTAAAAAAAAAAGATACCAAGATTTGGCTGCAGAATCAGGTCAAGGTTATCATATCATGGAAATACCACTAAAGTAAACTATTTCTTTAGTGGTATTTAACTCAGATTGTGAACGTGCTTTACAGTAGAAGAATTATATAGTAGTTAATAAACACAAATCTATTATTACGGAAAGGCATAACAAATTCTTAATTATATACGTATTATATTCCGTGCGACGACTTCGTTCTATGATTTTTAAAATAAAAAAATGCAGGTGCCAACTTTGAAAGCGCGATGCCTGTTGTTAACTCCTGTGCTACATAGCCTCTCGTTCCACATTAAATTGAAAATTGCAACCCAACACCTATGGATAATTCCATATGTCGGTTCATGTGCAATGTTAAAACATCAAAGCGATTCGCCAGAGGCGACTCGTATATCTTATCCTAGAATTGTTCAATTGTTCAATTGTTGTAAAACCACACTTAGCATTCCTAGATTTACTCAACATACAATTTATAACAACAATACATACAAACATATTTTTTTTCCTGTAATACAGGAAAATGAATACGTTTGTGTGTCAAACCAGGTATAAAACATTCTAATGTTGAATATGTATTATATTCTGAATAATAATAATCTTATACTTACAACTTACCCAAACTGTTTATTTTTATGGACACGATGCATAAAGTTTTATAATGGAAATAATGTGGAAATCAAAGATGGACCTTAGTCTATGTGAAGTATAAATAAACAAATTGTGTATCCCTTAAAGTGAATAATTGTGATGATCCATAAATCGTTGGTGTATAAACGAACAGCACTATTTTTTTCTGTGTTGATAGCTTAGCGAAGATTAATCACAAGTGCATGCGCATTATGCTTTTAATATTTATATCAAATGTAATGTTATGTAAGTAACAATCCGTGGTTTAACAGTACCAAGAACTTACTTAGCAAAGTTTGCAAATGTGCGCATGAATTTGGGACCATTCGCAAATGCCGAGTAGCATGTTTCTGAATAGCTTAGTAAAGGTTTGCGTTCTAACCGACAACACCCTCGTGACGTTTTAACCTGCAAAAAAGGAAAACTGTTAAAAGTGCATAAGTGTGGTCTCAATTAGAGCAAATATCGAGGAACTTGTCTCTATCTGAGTGATTAGGTTAAGTGATTAGGTTAAGTGAGTTATTAGGTTAATTGATGGAGTATTTAAAAAAAACTACAGTAAAACTAATAAAAAACTATACTAAGGGAAGTAGAAAAATTAAATTAATATTAAAATGTTAGCTTGAAGAGATACGTTCCGCATTAGTATATAAACTAAACACTATTATAAAACCCTGAACTACGGTAAATCTCAAAATTTGGCCAAAACCTTAAATTCACTAACTGATAAAAGTCGGTATTAGTTGGTGCTCATCGTTTATTCTGAATTTTTACAACCATGCACAAGTGGAGCGCAGGATGTGGGACAGCTCCGTCCCATATCCTGCAATGGATCAGACAATTCCGTCCTAGCGATGATAGTAGACAGACTAGTTTGCCCTTATGATGTTGTCTGTACTGTGAATTTTTCTGTTTTACAAATGATTTAATGTTAATATGGTAAATTGTAATGTAATTTAGTTTATTATGTATGTTAATAATTATATTACGAATGAATGTCTACGGAGTTGCGACATAATATGGGTGGTAATTGATACTTGAAATAAAAGTATTTAGGTTTTACTACAGTATTTTTTACTACACCATTATTTTTGTAGTTGTGAATGTTGTTAGAAGTAAATATTTGTAATCATAATCCTAAGTAATATAACTACACATAGTTTTTTCAAACTGCAAACAACCGTTGCAAGGTTGTTTGCGGTTTGAAATTACATAAAACATACTGATTTTGTTATCTTAACCAGGGTAAACAGTATATTCATCTAAAAAGAATAATTGTTTAGTGTTATTCGTTTTTCTCACTAATAGAATTTCAGTGTGATTTAAAAATTATAACCTAACCTAACTTTTACAATAATAAGTTATCATACTATCATTATTCATACTCATAATTACTATTATTATTCAAGATTACTAAAACTTGAACTTTACCCAGGCGCTAAACTTAATATTTGCCGTAGTTCATAGTTTTACAGTAATATATATACCTACTTATTTTTTTATAATATCGAAGACTCTTTAAACAATTTTCAATGTGGTCTGTGTTTCAGTGGTCAAACAATTCGGAATGCAATACGGAATAATTCAATAAACAGACTACTCCTTTATCTCAAACTTTGGATCCAGGTCTACACCTGGATCCAGAGTTTGATGTGGTACGAGGACCTTGAAACCAGTTCAAGTTAAACTTAAGAAGTAGTTACCGAGAAGACAAAATTCTTAAAAGACAAATAGGTGTAAATATGTATTTCCCGGATAGGCTATGTTGTGCCTTGGTTTTTAGTTTTACCTGTTTGCTATCACGATAATCATAACGTAGAAGAAATTCATTTAGTATATATTTTTTGATATTGCTTTATCTTAACCGATGATTAAAAACTATTTAATGGTGGTTTTATACTTACGAATATGTGTACGCAATGTCCACATATAAATGCTATAACAATAGTGCCGATAATTCCCATTAACCAGCCCGAATTTGAAAATGCTAAGGGCATAGCAAGTAGGCCAGACCCTAGCGAAGCTTTTAATAGGTTCGCTAAAGATCTAATGTCTCTGAAAAATAAATAAATGCATTATATAAATCGTTGGGCTGTGTTTTTTTTTCTCATTAACGGATATGCGTAATATTTCAGTAATAACGATTGGTTTTCATTGTAATAGGGTGATACTCGTATGTTGAACAAACAATGTGTTGTGACATTGATAAGGTTGTAAAGAATGAGTAACACACTGAGTAGAAAGAGTGCTTGCTCTAAATTGGTATTGAATCATTGGCCTTTTTATCGCGGCAAAAGTTAGAAAATTAAAGGTTTAAGGTTAAATTAATAAACACATTTATTTTGTGTCCGTGTGTTATAGTTTCCGTTTAAGTGCACGACCATTTCCCTAGGATTTTGAAATTCGTGTACATAAAGGTGTTTGTGAAAAACCACTTTAGTAAAGGGTCGAACAACATTGTATTATAGGAACATGAAAGTTGTGATTTTGGGCATGACAAGAAACTAGTTAATTTTAGGTATTGTACTTTAAGTTAATGAATAAAAAAACATATAATCTTCAAATTTCTCTACAAGATTAAATAAAAGTACTTACGAGTTTGGCTTAACCACTTGCCGGTGTTCATAAGGGTTATAATCTTCACTATCCAGGGTTTTTGTACCTTTTATAACCATGGTGGCCAATTTACAGGTTTAGACTTCAAGAAACTGATATAAGGCATTCGATACAAATATTTGTTTTAATGTTGCCTGTCTCATTCCAGTAATTATATGAGTGATTATTTTTTAAGGCACGCCTTGTGTTTTGTCACGTCACGATTTATGTTCACAAATCAGTTATGAATTCATCTGGTGTGTTTTGCTTTTTTCCATAACTACGACCAAGATTTTATGATAGTAAATTCCTTTATGATAATTGTACTTATCTTATTAGTCAGATAAAATCCTTGAAGCACTCATCATTATCTTAAGTTTTTATTGGCATCATTAAAGTTAAGCAGTTACACTCTCAGTCCATCTAGATGTATTCAATAAACTGAAATACTTTTTAAGATATAGCTTATTTTACACTACAGTCACTTTACACCTTTACAATTTACATATTTTTGATAAATTTACACAAAATTAATTTAAAGTTTCAATTTGCTTATCAAAACCGTAACCGATTTAAAAATATTTATTTGATTAAATATGATTTTGCATTAGTCGAGGATAGGTATTTAATTAAATAAATATTACATTAAAATAAATATTAAAAAACGAAAACCGTTTTAAATGCTGACACACTGTCACAGTTAAAATCTCACCTACAATGCTGGATGATATTATATCGTGGCTCTTATAAGCCGCTCATGATAAGTACACTACAGCATCTATAGACTTACATTCAAGTGTAATAAATACGCTGTACATTGACTCATGTGCACTGATATACCGATATTAAAGAAAAACATTCTCCGAGAAAACTTAAACCGGCTTTGACGAGTAAAACAAACTCATAAAACATTGGATTATGTCCAAACTGTTTTTTCTAATAAAATGTTTGAAGTGGTTCATAATTAGTTTGATTTGCTGTTGGAATATTGAACTTTCACAAGTAAAAAAGATATTCTAAAGTCTTTTTGATTATGTGTGATAACATTACAATGATTTAAAGGCGAGACGAGTCTTGCAGGTGATCACGACTTGAATTACGATTCTTCAAATGAGGCAAATTTAATTATTTGAAGTTTATCACATTTCGAATATTTCATGTAAGCTGACACACAATGTTATGGAAAGGTCTAATTTATACAGTTAACTGATCACTAAGTTTATAACAATGGAATACACACTGTTCGAGTGCGGACAATGGTTGTGGTACTATATTGTTTTTGTAAGCTTGTGATTGTATGTTAGTGCGGAGCAGACTGTCATAATAGCCAGATGCACTTGACCATTTCTATCCAGCTGTACAGCAGTAACTCAGAGATGCATTTATTCAAACAAGTGTAGTTATGCAAGCCAATAATTAGTTATTGTTTTGGCCTATGTTAAGGTTGTAAATAATGTGATACTTTGAAAAATAAATGTAAAAGAAGACTACATTTTAGTGTTTTCTTTAAAAAGGGAGGAAAAAGATTTGGGTCATTTCGAAGGTCTAGCATAGGCCACAATCGTACTGTAGAGATACATTGAGTTTTGGTGCCTAGGTAACTACTACTTTGTTTAGCTTTATACGAGTATTTAATTATCGTCTTACCACAATTGTGACCTCTTCACAGTCAAGTACAAAATCAGACTACATATTATAAAAAGTCCACTTGAAGTAGCTAAACGCTCTGTTTGTCTTATTAGTCGAATAAAAGGCTCTTTTTGATAAGGATATTTTGGCGTACTTTATTATAATATTCTACAAGGGGAAAACTTAACAGTCATCGTCTTCCATCCTATAGTCTCCTCCTCTAAAATCACACATCATTATCATGTCACAAGACGTCCATTGCTGGACATAGGCCTCCCCCAAGGCTCATCACAACAACCGGTCTAGTGCTGCCCACATCCAACGGCTTCCCGCGACCTTCACCAGGTCGTCAGATTATCTTGTAGGGTCCCACACTCCGTCCTACGGTACGTGGTGACCACTATAGAACTTTTTGGCCCCATCGGCCGTCTCACTGCCATTTAAATTTGGCGATTGTCCGGGTAATGCCAGTAACCTTGGTTTCTTTGCGATCTCCTCATTCCTGATTCGATCAGGCAGAGAAACTCCGAGCATTGCCCTCTTCATTGCTCTTTGGGTGACCTTGACCCTCCTTTTAAGGCCCATTGTGTGCGACCACGTCTCTGTGCCATAAGTCATCACTGGCAACACACACTGGTCAAAAACTTTTGTCTTGAGACTTTCCAAGTTGGACCTTTTCTAGGCGTGGTGTCAATATGGGGGGGAACTGAAATAACATGGTCCGCTGAGTCCAGCCGTCGGGGTAGATTTTAGTGGAAACACCACATACTCTTGGCTTCTTAATCCCCAAGGAGCCAGAGATCCGAAGGGATTTTCCACCCCGTCAACAAAAACAAAAAAAACAAAATAAAAGTATACGTAATCGTCAACAACTTTGAATGTGGAGTCTCCAATTTTCACTGGAGTGGGTGCGTGGGCGTGGGCATTCGACATAATGTTCGTCTTATACACATATTCATTTTAAGAAGCACTCGTTTCGAGACCCTACTAATTAGTATTACTTGGGTCTCTAAACGAGTGGGTCATGGCTGAAACCATGATAGACCTTAGTACAATTGCTAAGGTCTTCCATGGTTTCAGTCGTGACTACTATGTCATTAGAAAATCGAAGATGGTTGATACATTCACCATACATTTTCTAGTCCATTCTAGTCCAGAAACCTGAAGATCCTGCCTCACTTTTCGCAAAAGTTGGATAGGTTTCGATCACTGGTCCTGTAGACGGACTGATATGGTAGCGTTCTTGTACAAACACTTCAACACTTTGATGCACCGAAAATCGATTTGGCACCGCTAGAGAGACTGAAGCACAGCCCAAGTTTCTATCGATCACTAATAATCATATTGTTAGAATAATCACTATGACTAAATTAATGTTCCTAAAGCATTTCGATTTTAGTTTAATAAACAAAAAAAAAAAAGAAAACTTTTGCAATATTTATAAAAGGTCTTTTGCCATTTTTGCATCACTAAAAACAAGATTATGTTCTCAATATGTAATAGTAATATTCTGGGATATATTCTACAATTGTCGGTGTGGTGAAGGATTAAGAATATGGAGTATCACCATACCTATTCATCCCGTAGGTATCGTAAGAGCCAACTAACAAAGGTAGCAAACTCTACAGGATAACAGCACTGCAAAGAGGAGGAAAACTTGAAACAAATCCTATACCAACCCGTCAAGCCAGTGTGGTATCCAAACTGAACATAGGTACTGCGAGTTTTAGAAAACGGATAAACGTACTTAGTTACAATTTTATATGTATTCATTATTTCCATAGAACACCAAAACTACTTCGAACTGACAAATTTAGGTGTAAAATATGTAATAGCTGCAGTTAACTAATGTTAAATTGTTACTATTAAGTAACAATTTAACATTAGTTAATGTGTCTATTTTATTGTTTTTGGCACAGACAACACTAACACAGAATACATAGCATTTTTAGGTTTTCGCCAGATTAAGGTAACAAGGCAATAAGGATAGAATATTTATATAAATATAGACTTTTGTCACGTTATTTACCAATGTAATATGTCTCTTTGTTGTCATCAAGACGATGTGAGGACCCGAGCAAGGTGTCATTAAAATGACGTTGTATGTGTGCTAACATGGTACGAGTATAAGAATAATTTAGATTTTCTATTTTGCACAGTAAGTTTTATTATTTCATGGCAATATTTTTTCCTCAGGGTAGCCCATTATTCCCGTTATGGAGGATCGGCTCGAAAGATATCACGGGACCCTGTCATACCGGCTGACGCAAGTGATCTATGGGAAAGGATGCTTTGAGGATCACCTGTGTCTGATCCGCAAGGAGCCAACGCCTGACTGCGGTGGCCGGACTGTGTGTGTGGGTGGAGAAGAGGTGACCTCGTGGCGTCCATCGGGGTAGGAGTTCTCTGGCTCGGTAACATGATTGCGGCAATGGTGCGGAGCGAGAGTCCGTGGAACTCCGCCGTCTTCTTCTGCGAGCTAGCATGCGAAGGAGATGGAGGATCGGGACGAGGCTGTTCGGTCCCGCTCCTCCAATTCGGTTTCCGAGCCTAGCAGGCCTGGAGAGTTCTAAACCTTGTGATTTAGAACTCTCCAGGCCCATCAGGCAAGAAAACGGGTTAGGTACCGCTGACGACTCAGGCGTCGCAGGTCGCAGAACGATCTCCTTCCCCCATAAGCGCAGGCCTGGGGGTGACAGGTGAGATCATCTGTCACCTTAGAAGAAGCAGGCCGGGGTGGCGGCGAGCGCGCGTCTATTCGGGAGCACAGAGGGAACATGGGGGTTCCCACATAGGAGGGGTCATCTACTACGTCGGGGTACCAAGGATTTCCTTTCTAGGGTACACCTGGTTCCCCGGCTACTGGTACCCGAGACAACGTGCGGTTTTTGGTCGGTTCGAGTCCGACATAACTACCAGTGGGTGGTATCCGAGGGGATTGCCGCACAGGAAAGCCCCCAAAAGGTACCCCATTATTGTGAATAGACTCAAAAGGCATTCTATATTAACATAATGGTAAGTTTCTTATGTTATGATTTTGATTACTTCGAAAATTAAAGTCATTAATAAATGCACATGCACACATGACTTAAGGAAATTAGATTAAGTCTATGATCTTGCCAATGCAACCTGGTCGTCACACAGTCACGTCAGACAGTTCAAAGGTATGTGATACCTATTGATGCGTTGATTCCCAAAGGAAATAATATTTAGAACCATAAATATAAATGTCTGCCAACTTGTTTAATTGAAGGCAAGTACGGAAATCAAATTATAATAAAAAATAACACCCGTGATGCCAATAAATACTCCGTGAATTCTTTGTTATGATTATAATCAGTATGATCATAACTATTATTCATGCATTTCGATTCTCGATGAAAGTGTATCATGGAGTTGAAACTCACAGGACTTAAGTCATACTTACTTGTCTGATTTTCTGCATTTTTTATGTAATTATAATGGAATAAAATGGTTAACACTTATCGAATTAGGGGAAATAAGAAGACACTATATAATTAATAAATTACATGTATTATACTGGAATAATTTGTGTAAACTGACATGTTACTCAGTTTTTTGTTGTAGGTGCTTAATGATGTCCATAACGGTAACCGTACATCCGGAAATAAGGCAGGTAAACCCGAACATTACTATAAGAGAATTCTTCCAAAGAATCCAGTTAAATTTGCCAAGGTTGTTCCAGCGGAAGATAGTCTCGATGACAGCGGGGATGATGAGCCCGAGGATAGAGTAAAACAAAGCGCCTACGATATTGATGATTTGCTCCAGCAACGGTAATGCTATGCCAACTCCCACTGAAGAAACAATGATTAGATTTATTCAGTTACTTATATATTATTATTGTTGGTACCTAAAATAACCTTTTTAGATGAGAAATTCACGGAGTAAAGTTTTAATGTAATAAATTATTACAAAATTCGTTAGTTACATATCCTTGTAACGTTAAGCGTATCTTGTGAAAGAGTTATCTAGGTCATGTCAGTTGTTTAAATATTTTTAACCCTGTTTTTCATAATCTTTTTCACACTTCATGATCCGTATTTACACGCAGTATACCTACTTTTACATCATCATCATCATCATCATCAACAGCCTATACTAGTCCACTGTTGGACATAGGCCTCTCCTTAGAAAGGAGGTACTTTTACATAGTTTATTTAATTATGTTCGACTGTTGTGATGGACTGTTGGGTTAAGTTGTGTTGTCATTGTTCAATCTCATCGTAAACAGACATTTATTCATCCACAAAATTACCAATTCTTGCTTTTTTTTAATCAGCTTTGTATTTGGTAGCACTTGTTGTCTGCTTATCTTTAGTGGTGGTCCAAAACATGGACAGTTATCATAATTAAAAACTATCAAAAATTATTCCTTGCTTTAATGGGCACAACATAACTATATTATTGGCATTATTTCTATTATATTTTGTGAACACAGCTCTAGGACCTGGCTGCAACAGCATATACCTATAACTGACGCTTGACAAGGTATGATAACACCTACGAGTTATTGTTGATGCTGTGATGTCCTGCAAAACTCTTTGCAATCTTAACGGCCTTAATGTCATCAGAATAATCAAAGCTCATCAAAAAATCTAAATCTTCTTAGTATAGATAAATACCATGTACATCAATTTTAAAATCAATAATCAAATTTTTACGGAATAGTATGGAACATATTCTATTCAATTGCGAAAAAATGTGCTTCGAATAAATTCGAATAAATTATAAATTATGAAATTATGAGTTTCAAACTAATAGTACAGATCAGATTACATCATCATAAAGATCGAGATAGGGCATGTAGGGCGATCTTTTAAATATAATGTGGACAAACACTATAAACCACATGATATTATAGAACAAGCTTTTCTGCTTTCTATAAAAGAAATTGCGGGGTGCGGCGGTCATGGATGTTTTTTGTATTTAGTTGAAGGGGTTGATTGAATACAATTATAATTTGACAGATTAAATACTGCTACGCGGTCCCGGATTTCCCTATAGATACTATAATTATTTTTATGTTAAAATAATTATTGAAAAGAAATATATTGCGGTTTATAAAAATAGTTTTATTTGTATAATTTCTATTTTTTTTTGATGACCCAAGTACTTCCCGTAGTCATTATTTGTTTTTTTTAAATATCCGTCCCAATGTACTACTCATTTCGACCGCGGGACTGCTACCAGTTACGAAACGTGCGGCTTTCTCGCGTTATATTATATTATTAAAAATCTATATTTTACCTTTTAGTTACACATTTACTGAACAACTATCATTACATCAGTTGATTCATAAAATTGATAATATCATGTACTGTTATAATGAATCACAAATCAAAGCTACTACAAAATTATTATAAAATGAAACCGCCTCATTTGATACATCCATAAAACTTACAGAACATTTCTTACTTACCACAAAAAATCACTCCTATGATTCTAGCGGTTATTTGTGTAATCTGTTTATAATTATCTTTAACGCGAGGCAGAGTGTATCTGTTAAAGACGTCAATAACCACGTAGAATTGTAAAGGGTAGGTCAAAAATATAGACAGTGCTATAAATACTTTAGCACATACTGCAGGCCTGAAATAAAGAAAAAAGTATTATTCAACTAAGCAAAAAAGTATTATCCGGACTTGGCAGTTAATTTTAACGTTTGTCAACTTTTATTTCTTTTACTATTAAAGTACTACAAATAAGCGCTATATAAATGTATCATCCACGAATGATCCAAACTAACATAATATTATAAAAGAGGTAGAAAAATAGCAAGACCCACGGTATTGGAATGAATTGATTTTTTTTGTTGTTTTCTAATTTTTTTATTCTTACTAGGTTATCTCTCATAGTCTTATTCTTAATTTTATTTTCATATAATCCGTTTTTTGTTAATTGCTCCGATTTCTATGAAAACATCATCAAAGTTAAAAGTGACAAAAAGACACCAAAATACTGAATGCAGATCACGTGGTAAGTATTGACGTCAAACGAGAACACATAGCCGTTGTGAAATCTCCTACCTACCTTATATAATCTTGTTAGTCTTATTATTGATTTTAAATGCCTCAAAAATGGTGAGTAGTGTGATCATGGTGAACTAATACATTTTTAAAACTAATACATTACACACCTCGTAGCAATTACGTAAACATAAATTTGATTTACAAAAAAGGTTATTTATCGTAACCTGTTTTTACAAACTCAATTTGACAACATAACTTTACATTTTTATAATATTCGTAGTAACAAATCTTTTGGGAAAAAGCGAACTAAACACATAGCGAGACTGTGATCAGACAATCATTATATCGCAAAAATCACGCGAGCTGCGAGGCAAGGCACGAGGCGAGCCTACAATTTTGATTAGCTAAAATGGTTTTCTTAGTGTTATGTGATTTGTAAATGTTTGTTTTAATAACTTATTATTATGTTTACTATATTTCATAATAGTAAAATATTCTGCTGTCATACCATAATGCATAATCAAACATTTGTATATTGTGTGAAAATTCTATAATTTGGCCTCTTGGAGTTAATATAGCGGTCATAACTAGATAGTAGCAATCTCTTGTGGCTGCTAGTAAATTCTTCGACTTGGGCTCGCATAATGCGGTTTGGTAATCCGACAGATTGTCTAACGCCAGATGAAGCCAGGAGGTGGATAGTACATCCCTTTTTTTACTTCATAACTTTCTATATCTATATCTAACTATCTATTAATATATAACTTTGTATTGTTGTTTATTTTTAAAATACATTTATTATTGTGTCATCAGTCTATTTTAAGAAATCATTATCATGTCAGAATTCACTAATGTTATACACACAAAATACCCCAGCCCAAACACGCAATGTCTGTGGGGACAAATCAAATATTAAATATGATCCACAAAGGTTACCAACAATTGGTATATACCACAATGTTCACATTTATTTATTATGTTTCAGTTAAATCCAATAAACATTAAATAATACTTTAGTTTAACAAAATCATTAAGAAACATTGACCGGAGACTCGACAGCCGGTCGACAACAATGAGCAGCATGAGACAACAATGGCCGATTGACAATAATCAGTTTGCAGTCGAAATGAACTACTTATTTAAAGACATTTTATTCAATTAAAAGTAGTTTTGACCAATTAATAGTTTCAACTGTTACATATCATTAACGTAAAATGACCTGTTAAAACAAAGAATTAGTCTATTTCGCCTTAAGGTATAGCGTATATTAAAGTTTTCCTTATGTCTTACTACTCGAGGGCTGTCTTTGTAGTTATTTGATCAGTTTCCTATGATAACATGTTATTTCCCTAAGTAAGTTGACAAAGGTATTTAAATAACATGGTATCTTACTTTTTTTTATTTTAGTTCCTACCTTCACTGTTAAGATACGTTTAATAAAATGACTTTAATATCATACTGTAATACGTAAATGATATTATGAATTATTTTCACCTTGATTGTGATTGTGTAGGTTACTATAAATGGATCCACTCTAACACTAATAATAAAAAAATACTGTCATTTTTGTTTAAAAACATACATTACTGTTGTCCATTTCTGAAGAGATATTCGAATAATTATTACTCAACTACTTTTGCTAACATTAGTATTTTTAAAGTCAGTGTGTAAAATAAGTTGAAATTTATATCTAAGTCATGAAATTATTAAAATTTTAAATTAGTCATATCATCTAAAAAATTAATATTTTATGAGTTGTGAATACTGTTTTTGGTTTACCTTGGCCACTATTAATATTCCTCCATATGAACTTTCACTTGATATAATATTTATCCCGTAGACTATGTTACAAAATACTCTTCTCTCGTGTTGAGTATTTAATAAAATAACCGTTGCAGTTAGATGCGTCTTTATTACTGAGTTCACAACTATTTCGTATCAATTGTGCAGGCACACATGCATTCAAGTTTCGGAGCGCTTATTACGATATACACAAACACATATTTTTATTTTTATGTCTGTAGTTTGCTTTGTCCTTGTCGAGTCAATTTGAGTTATAGGCGTGTTTCCCTGATAAACGATTTAACTTGCATAACATCTTATGCTAATTGTTTTGCCGTTTTCCAAATGGAAAAAAGGTTGTTAAAATAAACAAGTGTTACTATTTTAACACGTGTTCAATGGTTTCACCATCGTTTTTAAACTGAGCTTAAATTTCGATAATTATAATTTCACACGTCTCAAACACATCAGTCTGATTTAAAACAATAACATCTATTACTAGTCCTTTCAGTAATTCTATGCAATTTATTTCTTTCTTTAAATAATAGCTATCGGTGCACAGATTTGACATCAAGTATTGGAAATCACCAAACTTTCACTCTTCTCGACTTATACTTCTTTCGTTCTTTACACTTCTAAGCTTTCATAGTCTTATTTCTCCATATCACCGGTTTCATTTATATGTATTTGCCCATAGCAATGTTGTTAGCGGTAAGGTAGGTGTGAAAGTTCCATTTGACTTCAGATATATATGTACACTATGCTGCGAGCTGCTGGTCAGTATCGGCCTTTTCGTACGATTTATATCGTTTATAAATAATTTTCTCATTGACAGAAAGTTAAAATATAGTATTCGTATTTATTCAGTTCAATTGACCCTTATTCTTTCGTCAAAGAGTTAATGATAGAAACTTATTTTATTTGATCCATCTTAGATATTCGAACACAGAATGTTACAGCATTGGACGGCTTTTGACATTTGAGTTTAAGGCTGAAAAAAACACTTGTTTTATTTGCACCAATTAAAAAGGACGATCGTTTTCTGCTATATAAGAAACCCCCGGTGGTCTTTATGTAAGAATTATCATATATATATATATATATTTAAATATAAAGGAGAGGCCTATGTCCGGCAGTGGACTGCGATAGGCTGATGATGATGATGATGAAATATAAAGTTGTTTCAAGTACGCTTAAAAATCTCGTTTTGTTGCACTGATTGAGCTCAAATTTTGACACAATATACAAACCGCTTCAGTGTCGGTTTTGTTTCTCACTTCTCATCAATGCAACCACAATAGAATATAATAGAATAGAATATGCTTTATTGTACACCAATTACAGAAAGTTGGTTAAATATTACAGATGGATATGTACAATTGGTGGTCTTATTGCTAATAGCAATCTCTTTTACAGACAACCTTTGAATCAAACAACCTTTGAACAAATCGACAGTAGATAAGAAGAAACAGTGGGTAGTCTAGGTGTATTGAAACTAACGTAGTGTATAAATATACATTAGCTCCAAAGATTCCGACAACCTTAAGGATCTCAGATGTGTGTCACTGAGGAACACAAAACGTTCCTTTAAGTAAGGAGGGGTTCATGGATTTAATAAAATACTATAAAGTATGGAAAGAATATGTAAGTCGAAATAATATATAATAAATAATGTATAATATATAAGTCGAATTGGGAGCCACTTGAGTAATTTACGATATTGAGTCACATGTTCATATTTGCGTAAACCAAGTATAAATCTAATGCAGAAGTTTTGAGGGCGTTCAAGTTTATCAAGTTGCTCCTCAGTGATATCGAGATAGCTGACATCAGCGTAATCGAGTATAGGGAGAAGCAGGTATTTAGCTAGCGCAATTTTAGTGACGTTGGTAGGAAGTTACGAAGTCTTCGCAATGAGCCCGCCGATGCAAACATTTTCCTACTAACTTCGCGTAGTTGAGGGCCCCAGGATAAAGTACTTTCAATAATAATTCCTAGGTTTTTAACACAAGCACTGATTGCAAGTAAAACACCATCAAATTTGATGTCAGGTAAATCAGACCAGTCAATTTTAGAGTGCATCCTGGGATTGCCGACAACAATAACTTTGGTCTTTGATGGATTAACATCAAGTCCATACTGGCTGCTCCATTCACAAACCCGCGCCAAATCCAAGTTCAAAACAGAGAAAGCTTCAGACAATTTGCTTAGCGGAGCTTGCGTATATATTTGAAGATCATCACAATGTGCCACAAAAAACAGTTCGCTGGTTAACCACGAAACTTGTAGGTACGACAAAATCCTCTTTTGTTTAATATATAAGCGTTAAGGAGTTGCACTAACAGTCTTTTTTATATTAAAGTTAAAAAAAACTTTTTTTAAACCTGTTTGCTATGTTTTTTTTTCGACTTCTACTGGAAACTCAAAGCATTCCACCTCTTTTGTGTTTTTTTTTTGTTCTTTTGTTTTATTCTTTTGTTTTTCTATTCGATTCTATTTAAAATTTTCATAATTAATATTTTTTGTGTTACTTTAAACTGTAAAACTGCAATTATCCAGTAAAACCAAACATTAAGTATCTTCAGGTACTTAAATTAATGTGAGCTAATTATTTCTAACATCCTTTTAAGTTGCTTGATATTATCTCATATGAGACTGAACTACCTATCAGTTTGATGATATTATAATCAGATATCATACATGTTTCCAAATATGCCAACATCTAGATGCTTTTGTTTTCAAATATTTATGTTATTGTAGTACGAGTATTTGACCTACGTTATGACATAAATATTTGAGTGTTGAGGCTAACGTAAACTTGTTCTGTTTTCTTTTTAGATAAGAAATATTGTGAATTGTTTGTGCAAGCTCTGATTACCTATGGTGAGTGATTTAAATTAATAGTATAATAAGGTACATATGATTGATCATTTGACTGTTAATATATTTTAAATATTCAAAACAAACAACAATCTGCAATTTGAAATAGTGTAGTTATGTACTTACAATTTCTTACTTACAACTCATTTGTTTCCTATACCCAACTACGATAAAAACATGGTTATGGGGAGCATGGTAATGTCATTGTATTAAGAAATAAAAGGATTTTTTAACGATATCGATATTGAATACCTGCAAAAAGTGGCATTTGGCTAGTATGTAAATATGTATAGTTTTTGACACATTTTATCCTCACACCTTAGTCAAAGATATGAAAATTTGAATGTGTACATCTTTGTAGTATTTTCCTAGTAGCGGTTATGAACGTGTGAATGCCATCATATATGGCCAGTTATGGGCAGTTAATAGGTTTGCTGCAAGTTAAAAAACATCATTTTAACATCAATGCAACTTATACGATTAGCCGGTATCTTATATTATTTTTTACTTATTGACCTATTTTATACAAAGGAACTATATTTAATTATAAGTTAAGAATATTATATATACGTGTTTTATATACTTACTTTTTTAATATTTGTATTTGAGTAATTTAATGTCTAATATTATGCAAAATTTAAATTATACACGTGTAGCCATTGTATCCTAGTTTATATAAAAAATTTAGAGTCTCTTATTCTTAGTCCTTTTTTCTCTGTATGATTAGAGTTTTTGTAAAATGAGGTCCCGTTATAAATGTAAAACCTCGTACATACTAGGAAAAAGGATGGGTAATATTCTGTGCCAATCTTTTCTCATATTATGACAAATAAGGATATACACCTACAATAAGCAGTTATTATTAAATGTAACTAACCATTCCTCAGTAGGCAAGTTCAAGGTAATAGATCCCCTGAGTATGTCACCATATCTAAAGTACCCAAATAAGCCCAGTGTGCTGTACAGGAATACAATTACAGACATGGCAGCAACCAACACGCTCGGGCAACCTAGGAAGTGTTGTGGTTTCTTCATCGAATTCTCTACTGGCATCACCACACCTACACCTTCCATTGCAAAAATTACGGTTCTGAAACAAAAAACGTATATGATTTGTACTTGTAATAAAAAAGTAACATTTTGCGGCAACGGTTTAATTTTTATTGACACTATCAAATGGATAATAAATTCTTCTTTTCGTCGTTAAGGTGAGATTACTTTACTCGGTTTCGCAATGTTACAATAGCAGTATAACGTATAGTAGGTACTAGGTTTATGTACACGTTAAGGCAGATTGGTCCACCTACGGTACCACGGTACGATCGTCTACAAGTTATACAAGTTTACTTTTTCTGTACACTTAAATATACGTAGATATAGCCACATTAATCTTTGCAGTGCTATTCATCCGAAGGTTGACTGGATGATATCGCTTTTTGCGATAAGACCGTCTATTCTGTATTATATGTATTATAATTATCTTTTTCTGTGGGTTTCTTTGTTTCTATGGTGTACGTGTACAAATTTTTTTGAATAATTATATAGAAATCGAGATTAAATTATGGCAACATTGTCAATGTAATCGTGATGAAGTCGTACTATATTGTAGTCAAGCCTAGAATAAGCAAGTTTTAACATTAGTTAGCTGCTTCGTTTTATTTATTAGCAGGGAGTAATTGTGTGGATAGAACATGTTTCACAATATCGGTAAATACATGCATTATGTACTTATAGCCGAACATAAAACCTTACGTTTTTATCATTGTAAACGTAAAGTTTAAAAATATAAAATATGCACAACCTATTTAATCTCAATAACAATCATTCCTTTACATTGTTTATTTGATTGGTATACTTACGATAAAAAGACTGGATATCTAGCCGGGTTTCCAGCTACCCGTTTGTCAGTAAAAGATATCTCATCACCAAAAATGTAATACAGGCAAACAAGATATGTACCAAATAACAAAATGTTGGCTAACAGTGAGAATATTGCTAGAAACTTAAGATATCTTATCTGGCATAATATACATAAGGGGATCAAAAATATTAGACAGTAATATTCCACTCTTAATATCATTGTTGGCACATATTGGTCGACCAACTGAAAAAAAAGTCAGCAATTAGTTCTATTTAAAAATATAGAATAAGAGTTGGATGCTTAAATTTATGTATTTAAACAAAAAACAAATGTCAATACTTTTAAAGTAAATAAAATTAGAATTTTTATAAATATAGTTAATAAAAAAAATAACATGTTATTTTTTTTATTAGCCATATATTTCAAATTTGACAATGATCAAGATACTAATCTTACGAATTGTCACAATACCAGTCTAAGCATTCGCCTAAAGGATCTTATATCTTATCTTGCAATTTCGTCACACCGTTATGTGTGTAGAATAGATTTCTTGTAAAATTATGTAACAAATTGAATGATATTTGTCCTTCTAGCATAACTAATTAGTAAAATCCTAAAGTAATACAAACCTGTTTTACAGAGTCAGATATCAACACCACGTAAATACAGCACACTCCTAAATATGTGCAAACCAGTGAAAACTCTGCAAGCACACTGAAAATTGATAAACATTAAAACTCATCAAAAGTCGGAAAAACCACTGCCATCATCCTTAATAAGTACTTAATTTTTAGGTTATTTACTCGAGTCCATCCTGCTAGATAAACTTAAGAAAATGGGTTTATACGGTATTGACAATAATTGTGCCTCACTTTACCTAAATAAGTAATTAATACAAAACACTACAAAAAACTGTCTAAAGTTCAGTTGTTATTTACCTAGCACTTTTTGCAAATTTTCTGACGCATTTGGGTCCGTTTTTAAAAGCAATTTTACAAGTTTCCGCATAGCCTAAGGACGGCTTGTTTTCTGCTATACAACAGCCTCGAGAAGTTTTGACCTGGGACATAAAATAATCGTATTACATAAAAAAAGTATCATCAAAATCGAAGTAAGATAATCAGGATTATCTTACTTCGATTTTGATGATACACCTGTATCACTTGTGCGCTATAACGCTGTTTTATGTTTATGCAGTTAAAAAGAAACAGTCATTTTGCTATTATTGGCTTTTGTCATTGTCACTGCACGAAGTAAACTTATAGTTTATTTAGAAATTGATAACTGAAGAAAATACTTTGTGCACACTTTGTAAACAAATTTGTATAATGGAATGGAATAATTAACGTTTTTTTGCAGAAGAATTGCAGAAAACCAAACTTATTAAATTGTAAGTGCCATAAATTTAAAAATTATGTTAAAACTGCTATAATACCACTATAGGGGTCCGATATACATTTTCACTCGCCATGGTTCAAAACTGTATATATAATGATTGTGAAATACGACATAACATTAAACGTGGTCGAGATTCGATCACCACGCGATCTCTTATAATAGAAGAAGACTTAAAGATCAGTTAATTTATTTAAAAAAAGTGTGATATATATTATGTCATTCATCAAAAAACAAACCAGTTTCCTGGTTTCCTGCTCTCAGTTTGGAAACTGGTGTGTCATATACAGACGCTACTGCACATTCGATACATTCATGTTTTGTGTGAGAAAAGTCTGTTCAATTTTTTTTTCCTATTATTGCAATTATCATCAACAACCTATAACAGTCTACTGGTGGACATAGGCCTCTCCTTAGAAATGAGGTTTTGAGCATACTATAGCACGCTGGCCAGACGGGTTGATATTGGGTTTGTTTCAAGTTCATGAAAAATCATGACGTAATGTAATTGTCATATGACAAAAACAAAACAGTGCTGACGTGGTTATAAAGTGAGTTTTATTATTTTTGTTAAAATATATTAGATAAAATGGCGTATAAATGGTGTCTAGTGTCAAAATGTAAAAATACGTATAAAACTACTCCACACAAACTGTTTGTTTCTGTGCCAACGAATCCCAAAAGACGAAAACTGTGATTACAATAAGCAATTAGCGATATTTATACCTCGTCTTTTAGAATCAATTAGAAAATACTTTTAAAAATAACTAAAACACTCAAAAAGCATAAAAATGCGCACTTAAAATCTATCGAAGGAAGCCACAAATTGAGAATGTTTGTTTTGTTCTAGACATGGGACAAAATCACAGTGAACTGTGATTTATCATGTCATATCGTGGGTTAGGGTTGCTAGGTAGGTAGGTTAGACGTACCGTAAAAAGTACGGTCAACAAAAAAAATATACTATATTTATGGGGTCTACCAATAAGAACGTCCTGGTTTAAAAATTGAATAAAACACACATTTTTTTATGAAAAATGCATCCTATTGATTTATTTGATAGATAATTTTATGCAATTTATGTTTTAAATAATATATCGGCCAAATGGCCGCCGCGGCTCTTTTTGCAGACGGTCACCCGCTCACGCCAATTTTCGATGACGTGGTGCACCATTTCGGCCGGTATGTCGGTTATGGCTTTTTAGGTCACGAATTGTAGCTGGATTATTGCTGTACACTTTAGATTTAACGTAACCCCAAAGAAAATACTCTAAAGGTGTTAAATCACACGATCCTGGTGGCCAACTGATCGGTCTATTTCTCGAAATTAACGACTCGCCAAACTTTCCATGCAATAATTCCATGTTCACTCGAGTAATGTGATGTGGTGCACCGTCTTGTTGAAAATAGAGGTCGTCTGCATCAATATCATCAAATTCCGGAAAGATATATTCGGTTAACATCGAGTTATGGCGCTCGCCATTCACAGTAACAGGGTTTCCTTCGTCACTTTCAAAGAAGTTTTGGACAATTTCCAAGAGTTGGTTTAAAGTAAAACGTGACATGATAAAATGGCAAATCTTACTGAACACAAATGTCAAGAGACGTCAAAGATCCATCATCAAACATGGCCGCTATGAGCTGTCAAAACCAGGTCATCCCCATTGGTAGACCCGTTGTATATATATAAAACTATTTTTATAAAACGATAAATAATTAGTATAATTTCAAAAAAATTTAACAGCTCCGACAGCGTGTTTTCGCTTTTTTATTTTTCGATTTGTAATTATTACTTTAATTATGATTTTAATTTAATTTATTAACTATATAAAATGTTTTCATTTACTTTGCTGTTCTTGTTGCTGCAATTTGTTGTTAAAAGTGAAGACCACTACTGTTAATGCTGTTAGTATTCCAATAAAAAAAAATGAAATGAAAAAAAAATATTTTTTTTTAAGGATTTTTTTTCGTATAAGGTTGTGAAATTTGAGTGCTACCTATTTTCTATATTGTCTGGCTTCTGGTTTAAGATATAAGTCAGTAGAGGTACCTAATTATAGAAATATGAGAGTTTTACTTATCTGTATTTGTGTATGCACCTACAAATTAGTTGCCAAGCGATGCCCACGTACGAGTATGCTCTTCAGGCATATCTGATTTGCTAACAGAATGTTCGATTTAGATAATGTAACTGTAGATTTTCTTTGCGTAATTATGTAGTCATGCGAAGGCCAAGTAATGGTAAGGTAGTTTTGTATATCAAATAACTAAACATGTCTTGTGCAGTCACTATAAATAGTTTTTAGGTAGGTAACTGACTAGGTATCAATTAGGGTATTTTCTATGTATAACATGTATGTATTTACAAAAAAAGGAAATGAGGTATTCTATCAGTCAATCTAGCTTTCATAAGCTTTGATTAGTTTCAAAGTGGATAACGTGTTTCCGAAAAATAAATAAATATCTATAGATCTTAGTAGATTGTGTCCGTATGGATTGAGGAGCCACTTCAGATTTTAAACGGATTTTAAACGGAAGCTCACCCCATATTTAGTAGGTTAGCAAATAATTTAGCAGGACAAATTCTGAAATTTGTAGTAAGATATATCCAAAGTTATATCAATGTAAAAGTGACAATCTAAACATCTGAATTGAGGAGCCATCTGAAATACGGAAGGTATATAATAAATATTTTTAAAAATTTTAAATATATAATTGTTGATATTCAATAATATACAATAATTTTAATGTGGCTCCTCAATCTATATTCGAGAGCGTGAATTGCCATCAAAGTAATAGTTCTAAATTTATATTCCACTCACATTTATTAGCAAGTATGTTTGAATTTGTAGCATCAGGAGAAAGTAGTAATACTGAGTGAATCCCGACGTTCTGCATACTAAATAATCGGCTGTACCTACCTGAGATCACAACAGAAACAAAAACCAAAGACACTAACATTTAGCATAAATGTCTACTATATAAATATGTACAGATCAACATTGTATATATTCGGTATCTGAAAAATGATTTACTTTTTGATATTCCTTATGAATTAGCTATTTATTTATTTATTTTAAACTTAATGCACATGTTGTACAAAGGCGGACTTAATGCCATTAGGCATTCTCTCTCAGTCAGGTCGGGTACTAGCGTTGTAACTGTACTGCCAATTCACTCCGAAGAAGATAGCGCACTTTTCTCCTGAATGCAAGGCGGTTTGTGGACATCCTGATTTCGGCAGGGGGGCATTCCAGAGAAGAACTGACTGGACGTAGAAGGAGGAGTTGATGAAGTTGGAGGTGTGAGGGCGGCATAGAAGAAGCATATTGTTGGTTGATCGAAGATTTCGATCGTGATTGGAGCATAGGAAACGGAAGTGGGGTACGAGATATTCAGGTAACGATGGAGAGTTGAGGAAAGATAAGAGAGAAGTCAGTGTTCGTAAACTGCGGCGCTGTCGAATTGGGAGCCATTGCAGCTGGGAACGTAAAGCAGACACGTGGTCATACTTGCGAAGATTGAAAACGAATCGAGTGCAGTTTATTTAGAAGGTCTGCATTCAGGTCGAAATAACACACATCACCATAGTCGATTAAGGGAATAATTAAGGACTGCATTAGCGTAGTCTTAGTTTTAGCGGTAAGGAAGTTCTTCAAACGATATAAAGCACGGAGTCATGTGGTGACTTTCTGGCTGACTTGTGTAACCTGTGCCCGCCAGTCGTGTCGAGTCGATATGTAACCCCAGGTTCCTTACCCCTGCACTATAAGGTATAGTCACATTGTTGTAGACAACTGGTGGGATGACCGCCATATTTAGGATGACCATGTAAAAATGTGAAATCACTAGGACTAGTTTTTCAATTTTACGAGTAATTTTCAATAAATCGACAATTATCGAAATATAGGAATGTTCAGAAATTCTTCAGTTATAAGTATTTCTTAATCAATTTGGAGATAAGTTGAAGTCTATTTACCAAAGTATCTTAATTGAGGAGCCAGTTAAAATGTGACATATCTCCCAATTCACAAATTTTTAATTACTCTTAACACTACAAATTTAATATACTTACTACTACGAGTAAATGATGACACATCAATTGAAAGACTGCTTCTTTAAAAATGATAATACGATTATCTGGTTATTGTCTGAGCAGCCATATATATAGTGTGTATGTAACTTTCTTAATTTTAACATTACCGAGCTCAGATTTTGTCTACTAACTACTCTCAAATACTAAAAAATTATACTACATTATGATAAATATACATCCATTATGTTCCTAGTTCTGACGTGGCTCCTCAAACATTTAGATTGAGGAACCACCCTAATATTCATATAACTTTAAAAGTATTATACTACAAAATTGAGGATCGAGGGTACAATTTTTTTATTTACTTGTAAATAATAATATTAATTTCATTAATTGTTGTTGTTGTTCAAAGTACAAACCTTAATACAAACGGACCCAGTAGATTTTGTGGTAAAATAACTGCCTTTCGATACCCACCTTACGCAAGTACAAAACGTTACTTGTACGTAGTTACAAGTAACGTTTTGTTGGAATCAATACTTTATGTAATTATAAGCTGGGATTTAAGGTTTTTGAACACTTTTATAGTCACTTATTGTTATACTCACCAGGATATGAATACAATGTCCACAAACGATGCCAACGAGTATAGTGCCAACTATTCCAATACCCCATCCAGAATTAGAAAAGGCCAATGGTCCAGCCAGTAAACCAGAACCCAGAGATGATTTAATTATGTTAGCCGCTGCTCGAAGGTCTCTGATAAGAAAAATATTGTTCTATAATACGTGAATATAAACAAAACCAAAAAAAAATTGTACATCTAGATTTTTATAATTCTAAGAACTAAGCTTAAATTAAATTCAGACACGAAAGCTAAATCAAGCTGAGCGACCGCCAGAAGTCGCTAGCGGTGTCATCACCATCAGCCAATTTCCGTAAACTGCTGCCACTGCATACATGAACAATGCGCATCCCTCCGCTACTCGCAATTTTCTTCAAGTCGTCCGTCCATCATTCCGCAGGGCACCCTACACTTCGTGTGCCCAATCGCGGTCTCCACTCTGGCACATGTCGGCTCCAGCGACCATCAGTCCGCCTCGAGACTTGACCAGCCCACTTTCACTTCAGCGCACTGTTTCTCTGTGCGATGTCGGTTACTCTAGTTCTCTGTCGAATAGTTTCGTTTCGAATTTTATCGACTAGAGAAACACCCAGCATCGCACGCTGACTGACTTTAAACTTGTGGACCAATCCAACGTTGAGTATCCACGGCTCCGTGTATCATTACGGTTACAGTGCGTCCACTGGTTAAACGCCTTGGTTTTTAGCGATTCGGCGATTCGGCGAGGGAATCGGCGACTCGAAGATATGACGAAGTTTCCCTAGCCCAGACGAATTCTTCTATCGAAGTTGTGCCGTCCGAGTTGAATAGTTATGCCAAGATATACGTATTCTTGCACAATCTCGATATCAAAGCCATTTACAGACGGGACTCGGGGAAACATGCCTATTAAACATGATCTCGGTCTTACCAATGATCATCCCAAGTCCCACTCGTCTTGAATAGTCGTCCAGACCGCTGAGCATTTTTTCCAGATCACGCAGAAATGCCACCAGAATCACTATGTCGGCAGCAAATCGCAAGTGTATAGTGGTGTAGTTTGTTGCAAAGTGTAAAATATCAAACTTATATTCAAAATCATTCTGAATCATAGGGGTAGTTTGCTTTTAGCGGATAATTTATATATGTGTGCCTTATATGTACTTTTAGAATACAGAATACGTCATTAAATTTTCTTTATATCACTTTGTATACAATCTGTCACTCAATCATCACTTGATGTCAATCACGATATCCTTCTATCCACCCTGTCCTATATCTATTTCTCTATCTCCATACAAGATCATCATCATCGTCATCATCAATAGCCTATAACAGTCCACTGCTGGACATAGGCCTCTCCTTAGAAAGGAGGTTTTGGCCTACTATACCACGCTGGCCAGACGGGTTGGTATAGGTTTTTGTTTCAAGTTTTCCTTCTCTTTGCAGTGCTGTTGTCCTGCGTAGTTTGGTCCCTTAGTCGGCTCTTACGACACCCACGGGATGAATAGGGGTGGTGACATTACGTATTCTTATTCCGTCACCACACGGACAATTCCGTCACCATACAAGAACCATTATAATAAGGAATCATATTACTCCTGATACACTGGAATGGTTCTTGTCATATCTCCAGGGGCGATAACAGTCTGCTCAAGTTGATGTTGCCTCCTCAAGTTTTTAGCGTGACCCTTTTAAGCGTGAACAGGATAAGGTCACCGTCTAAAATGCGTTTGAAAATGTTTTTGAAAATTTGCTTTTAAAGGCACAACATCTATCTCAGTGAGGGACTTTTTAGAGGCACAGACGTCGCCTTTATGTAAAGTAAACAAGATTTATAATAAAAGTAAAAACTTACGAAACAGGCTTTTCAACTTCTCGATGCTCAAAAGGATTGTAATCCTTCTTCACTTCAGCTCTTCTGTTAAATGTTTTGTCGGTCATGGTAAAATTAAAATAGAGAAACTATTCAAAATAACGATATTATTTTAACTTATACATATGGTCAAAAACAGTATCTACACTTTTTTAATCACATAAAAAGTTTTGTTTTTCTTGTGACACACTATGCAGATAATAAACGTATGACAAATGCCAAACGCGAGGCCTGAACGTTAAGGTAAATTATTTTACAGATTTTATGACTACGGCTTTAATTTATTTTATTTTCTGTTTAGTTAAGACTCAACTAGATTTAGATAGAGAGATACCACAACATCTTCCGTCAGATTTAAACGTATTAAATGCGCTTGTGTAGCGAGAAATGAAACTAAAATTATCTTGAAGGTAAAATTGACGTTAAGTACACTTACATATGTATATTGTAATGAGAACAAGGGTTTGCAACGATTTTTATTATAGTTATATGAGTATTTAGGAGGAAAATGAGTTGTCAAATATAAATGTAATACACACTTATTATGTATACATCAAAATGAATAAATCAAGTTAACGTTAAAATTACTCTTGACTCTTATAATTAAATACATCCATTTTTTTTATTCAGCAGTTCGCTACCTGTAGCGAGTTGGGTATTTTTTATTTTGTGTTTGTGCTATGCTTTTTCAAATGAAAAATAACCGTTACTGATGGCACGATCATTTTGAAAAGAACGGTAACTTAAAACGATATGATATATATATATATATTAACTAGCTGACCCGGCAAACGTTGTATTGCAAAACAAAAAAAAATTAGGGATGGGTCACCCTTACCATTTAGGGGTATGAAAATAGATGTTGGCCGATTCTCAGACCTACCCGATGTGCACACAAAATTTCATGAGAATCGGTTATCGATAAAAGTTTCGGAGGAGTACAGGAACGAACATTGTGACACGAGAATTTTATATATAAGAGATTTTATTTTAAGAAATCATCCACTTTTACTCGTACTCATGTATGTGTGCATTTCGATGGCCATTATCAAGCTATAAAGTGACCTGCAAATATATTTGCAATGTAGTGCTATATTTATGGTTGGTATTTTGCAATATATCTAATGTATGTTGAAGAAAATCTCTAAAGTACTATTTACTTAGATAGAGGATGAATATAATGTGGACAGTTTAAGACAGACTAATCTTTGCAATTATTTTGATTATAAGTTATGATTTATAGACTTATATTGTGGTTTTCGAATCATAAGATTAACTACAGTTTACATGCTATGATATATACATACATTTAAATGTGTAACATTTAAATTTCTGTCTATGTCATAGCCATTTTTAAGCACATTTTTGAAAACTATCTTCTGAATATTTAATCAGTTGTGTACCAATATGAATAAATAATAAGTAAGCTAAAGATACACTTAAGCAACCGTGTCTCACTAATGCTCAGAATAAACTACCATACTTTTTAGTTCCGAATTTTGTTCTAGATTATTGTGTAATATAATTGAAGGCCAGTCATTATTTACTATCGTTTTAGAGTTTACTGCCACATTACAGTACCTAGCCTCGTCAGTTTACCGTCACTGTGGTTAGATGGAATGGTTGGTTGAAGTTTCGGGTATTATTCTTCGTAGCGAAGACCTCTTGGATTAAATATTTGCGTTACTTCCAATTGCAAAACCTTAAACCTAAATAAATTAAATATCACCTTTTCATATGTTATGGCGAAAACTATCACACTAACAATGAACAAAAAGGTAGGTATTTCAGTGTTTTTCGAGGTCTTTATTTTTGGAAAATGAATAAATAATGAAGTTTCTAAGTGGAGGATATTTTGAATGTTCACGAATTCGTTTAGATTAACCACGCAAAGCATACTAAGTACTCTTTTTCTGCACAATCACTTTTAATGTAACGCCTGAATATCTCGCTGCCATTAAATCTGTTGCAAGAATGTAACTGCACTACAAACTTATTACCTGGATAAAACATGCTATTTTAATACTACTAGAAGATTATAATAATATAAAACAGATAAGTACATATATGTATAAGGACATCACACACTAAACGTATGGTGATGGCGATGCCTTGAGTGTATAGTGTAGGAGTCCAACACTTTGATCTGTAACGGTTTTCGAACTTTTTACAATGTTAGTGAAAGTTATATCCGTTTTGCCTAACCTCGAAGCTTGGGTAGGTAGGGAGGGAGGTCGCGTCACCTTCCAACTGACGCAGGTGCTCACTGGGCATGGCTGCTTCGATGAGTACCTGAATCGGATTGGACGCGAGCAGACGGCACAATGCCAGCACTGCGCGGCCGACTGGGTTGGGACAGGTCGATGAAATCGGACGAGACTTGTCCCCGACAGCAATCATTACTGCCATGCTGGCGGGTGAGGAGGGCTGGGGCGCAGTGGTTTCTTTCTATGAAGCTGTAATGCTCCAGAAAGAGACCGCTGAACGGGATCGGGAGAGGGCCGACGTAATGAGCAGCCGACGGGACCGCGGGCCGCCAGAGAGTGGGGACCTCTGGTGGCAGATTAATTGCGTAGGGTAAAGGATGGCAGCCTGATCGCACTGAAAATGTGATCGGGCTGCAATATCTGGATAGGCTCAGAGGCAGGGAGAAGCCACTGGCTTTCCCTGAGATGGGACCTAGTTAGGTGCGGCGTCGATCTGGGGGACCTGAAATCACATGGCCCGGGTTCTTCCCAGAGCAGGGCGCCTAAGGCTGGCCGTCGGAGTGGTTTTTAGTAGAATCACCACATACTCCTGGCTCCTATATCCCCAAGGAGCCGGAGATCCGAAGGGATTTTCCACTCCGTCAACAAAAAAAAAAGTTAAAGTTATATAGGTCATTGAAATGAAATAAAACAAAACAACCCAAAAATTGAGTAGTTATCAGAATTTAAAAAAAAACTAAGCCACTTTTACTTATTAACGTATAAATATACATGTATATAAACTAGTACTGTTACTGTTTAAAGAATTTCGTTTTGTGACAGTTCAACATGTTGGAACTGTACCTTTTTAGAAAGATGTAACATATTTTTTGAATATTATACGTGTAACAATCTAAGACAAGTAAAGAGAAAATTGTAAAAAATAAAAAAAGTTGAAAATTAAGGTAAATTTTGGTACTTATAGTTTTCGCGAAAATCGAAATTTGCCCATATCTTTTTATCGTGTTGACTCAAGACCTTGATTTTTATAGGGAATAATAATAATAGGGACCATAGGCCTTAGTATCTGGTATAAATTTCAACTTGCTAGGTCTACCCGTTCCTGAGAAATCGGTGGTGACACACGGACAGACGGACAGACGGACAAGAAAGTGATCTTATAAGGGTTCCTTTTTTACCTTTTGAGGTACGGAACCCTAAAAAAAATGTCCGTAACGGTTTGGAACGCACTACAAAAATTGGGGTTCTCAATTAAATTGTTCTGTTTGGATTCTGCTCTTCAAAAGAAAGAAAAACAAATGAGAACCTACTCCTTTTTGAAAGTCGGTTAAAAAAAGAAACTTCCAATACCCTTACAAGATTACTTTGTTGTCTGTCTATGTTATTTATTTGTTCTTTCTGTTCAAACTATTTATTCAAGTGAAATTGCATTTGATATTGCATTTACCTACATTTTGCAGGCAATAAAAAATGTTTTATTTTGTCATTAACAGATTATATCGTGCTTGCGTTTAGTTTGCAAGTTTGATTGTGATGTTTATCGATGTATCTAAGATTATATTTTGAACGGCAAGTTAAAGTTTGTCACTCGAAAAGATGACAAAAATCTTCGAAAACAGATTCCTGAGACTGACGAACTAGCTAATTGCAAGTTTGTTTCATGCAAACATTAACGCGTCGGTGCGAGTCAGACTCGCCCTTGTTCGATCTTTACTTGTTTATGTTACACCATATCTTAACAAGTTCTTTATGACAGGCAGCAGTCACCGTAGCCAAAATCGGCAAGGGCAATATAAATATTTTTTAGTAATTCCTTTTGTAAAATAAGTAGGGTTTTGTCTTCTGGGTGGGTTTCATATTTTGATAAACAGTTCTGAATGAACAACCATACAAGTAGTTCTTGAACGAAGTTTAGTAGATAATCACTTTCCATCAGGTGACCCGTCTGCTCGTCTGCCCCCTCTAACACAAAAAAAAAATCGTGATTAAGTAACAAAGATTTTCGAAAACTTTCACGTGTTTTATAATATTCCTAAGAATAGGAGATGGACTGCTTAGATTAATATTACTGAATAATTCAATTACCTGTTTTTTGTGATCATTGCTACATATGCACAGTGGGGGTTCCCTCCGCTCCCCACTCCCACGTCGGTACCTGGCCCTTCAACATCGGTCCCCTCTACGTCTGCCCCCTCTTACAATGGGTGGCAGGTAGTCGGGGGGACTAAGAAGCCTCAAAATGGGGCAAGATAGCTGCTCAAAAAGCAGCCTTTACCCCGCAGTCACCGTCGGTAGCAGTGGCCACCAAAAGGCAGCCGCGCAATCTGCAGGCATCTAAACCGCGGTTGTGGTGGTCAACGTGTCACCGGAGGCGGTTAACGGCGGGCTGTCCTACGTGGCCATATTTAAGAGGGCCCGGGATAGTCTCGCCCATGATTTCGGGGCAGTAGGGGTCACGATGCGCCTCGCCCAAACGGGAGCTCTAGTCTTGGAGCATACGTTTGCAGCTACGGATGGTGTAAAGATCGCCGGGACTATCAAATGCGCGGCGATGCGCATATCAGGCCTGGGCGATTCTGACACGGCAGAGGATGTCTGCGTTGCAATACGAGAGAAGACAGGCTGCAGCGCGAACCACATCGGGTCGGCGATCAGCTGTCACCAGCCATCTCCCACATCATAAACTTCTCCCTATACTCCTGAACTTTCTCCTCACTCTGGCGTAAAGCTCACATAACTCCATTACCTAAAATTGCAAATCCCACACTTCCTTATCACTTTAGACCTTTATCAATTCTTCCCTTCCTCTCCAAAATTCTTGAAGCCTGTGTATATAAACAGCTCTCTGGTTTTATTTACAAAAATGACATATTAAGCCCATTTCAATCTGGTTTTACGCCTGGCCACAGTACTACCACTGCCCTCCTCAAAGTGACTGGTGATATCAGGGTGGCTCTTGAAGATACAAAAGTGACAGTCTTAATTCTGGTGAACTTTTTATAAGCCTTTAATACCGTCAGCCACGATATTCTCTTATCCATCCTCTCCAAAATCGCGCCTGAAGCCCTGGAATGGTTTCATCTTATCTTCAGGGACGTCGGATCTGATGTCCCTCAAGGCATTACACTTTCTCCTTTACTGTTCTCTGTGTTTATTAATCTCCTGTCTCTTGAACTTCGTAATGCTTATTATCTGTATGCTGACGACCTGCAACTGTATACTCAAGCTAATATTGAAGACTTACCAACAGCTATCGACGAGATCAACATAGATCTTCAAACTATCAAAAGCTGCTCTGAAAGGTTTGGGTTATCGGTCTACCTGACAAAGTGTCAGGCCATAATAATCAGCAGTCACCGTTCGAAGAACAGAATTAGTTTTGAGACGCTCCCCAAAATAATATACAATGGTACCACTATACCTGTTTGTCGAACCGTGAAAGACCTAGGCTTACAACTCCACTGTACTGTGAACTGGCGCGATCAAGTCACATACGTATGCCAGAGGGTTAACGGCATTCTCAGAACATCATATCGCCTGAAAAACTTTCTTCCCGTGAAAACTAAGACAGCGCTCAGCAACAGTGCAATCTCTTATCTTCCCTTTAATCCACTACGGTGACTTGGGCTATTATGACCTGAATGCAAGCTAGATCGTCTTATTAATGACTGCATTCGATTTATCTTTAATCTTCGTAAGTATGATCATATTTCCAGTTTCCGTTCCCAGCTAAGATGGTTACCTATTCGTCAACGCAAGAAAATGCGAGCATTCACAATTGTGTACTCTATCCTCAATTCCCCTTCCTCTCCTACTTACTTAACAACACAATTTCAACTGTTATGCAATAACCACAACAGAAACCTTCGTTCGGCCAACAATCTCCTTCAACTCTGTACTTCTCACAACACTGGGTTTGTCGGCTCTTCGTTCTTCGTCCAGGCTGTCCTCTCTTAGAATGCGCTTCCTCTCGAAGTCAGGATGGCTACAAATCGGTACTCTTTTAGGACGAAAGTGAAAGAGTTTTTGCTAAGTGAAATGGCAGATTCAACGAGCTTTTAGTTCGTCGCCTAAATTTTTATAATATAAATGAATGATATGAATATATATGTGTATGTGTGTGTATGTGTATGTACGTTTATATATGTATGTGTGTATGTAAATATTGTATGTGTGTGGTATTCAGATGTATACACCAAATTCTAAGATAGTTGGTATTTAAGAAAATCTCTATCATTTACCCCCCCCCCCCCTCTCATAAATGCACCTTCCTCATTCTTTCTCAGCATAGCCTAATCTTTCGAGTGGCAGAGAATGCCTTAAGCATTAAGTCCGCCGATGCATGAACTTGTGTAAAAAGTTATAAAATAAATAAGCGCAGGCCTGGGGGTAACAGGTGAGGCCATCTGTCACCCTAGGCAGAAGCAGGACTGGTTGGCGGCGCGACGCCGACGACCTTTAAGTAGTAAAAGGGGAAGACCGTGGTTCCCGACACGAGGGGTCATCTACAAGCCGTAGATGGCCCGGAGTCGTCGGGGTGCCAAGGATTTCCTTCCTAGGGTACACCTGGTTCCCCGGCTACTGGTACCCGAGACGGCGTGCGGTTTTTGATCGGTTCATGTCCGACACAACCACCGATGGGTGGTATCCGACGGGATTTCCGCAGAGGCAAAAAAAAGGTACTATGTCCTCGGCTTATGCCATTTCTATTAGGGCCAAAATTTATTAGACAAACTCACTTTCATTATGACTCAAAAGTTAAAATATCCTTTACGTTTCCAAGGGATTTTATGGGTATTAAGCCTCTGTCTACCACAGCGGGAATACAAAACGCAAGTGTATCTAAACTAGACTTGCAACGAATAGTATATTCGGCAGTATACCGAATACCGAATATTCGGCGAGGCCCCTGACCGAATAGCCGAATATTCGGCAAAAGTATTCGGCTGGATTTTAGCGCCAAAAACTTGTACAGACGTGAATTAAATTATGTACCTGTTTTATGTACCAATGACTACTTAATAAATGATTATAAAAGAAATGAGAATCTTACCCTTCTAAATTTTGATTACCACAATAATTCAAATACATAGAATCCTCCATTTTTCCAATTCAGAAGATGATTATGTACCTGTGTTATGCACCAATGACTACTTAAATGATTTTAACAGAAATGAAAATATGAATATATACGTAATCAATCGATTTTAATTTTTCATTTTACCAATTATTTCTCAATGACAAAATATATTATTTAAGTATTCGGTATTCGGCCGAATAATATGTAGATATTCGGTATTCGGCCGAATATAATAAAAACAGCCGAATAGGCCGAATACCGAATAGTAACCGAATATTCGTTGCAAGTCTAATCTAAACGTTTCTAAACGTTGAAAAGATTTACTTACAGAAATATATATCATTTATGTATTAGATTAACATTCATTTATGTATTAATTACTCTGTATTTAATTTGAGAATAAATGTAATTTAATTCATATTTTGGTACCAATTAAAACTGACAGGAGATTAGTACCTACTTTATCAATTTAATGCTCAAAATTTTATGCAAGTAATTCTGTTAAATATATGTATTAGTGTGTACATATATGAATAATAATGAATGCTGTGTGTGAATAGGCTGAAATAATAATAAAACCACTATATAATATTTAAGCGTTGCATATTTTATTAACTTTTTTTACAAAATTGGATAACATCTATATTTTATTAATGTAAATCTGAACTTAAATACTATGTATTATGTACTATGTAGTGCCTAGTATCCGCTAATATAGCTATAAAACAGTTTTTTGGCTACCCCGGAAGACATATTCTATGTAGGTAGTAAGTATAACCGCAAAGAAAGCATATGTGGAAACGGCATATCGACGCGAAGTGCCATTCACTCGCGGTGAGTGACACAATCAAGAATTCATAGGAATTGAAAAGAGAAATTTGAAATGTTATAAAAAGTGAACTAATGTAATTATTTTTATAAATAATAACTAATAACTTAAATGTTTTGCTGTACTAATGCATTTTAATACTGTATATCATGTACTACATAAGTGATTTGGCTGTGGTGATATGAAGCTTAATAAGAAAAAAAAAATGTTACTTTATTTACAAGTTATTTTCTAATTTATATTAAAAAATTAGACCTGAAAGTTTTTTCCAGCACATGCAAATAGAGACTTTAAATTCGAAATGCTAAAATTAGTTCCTCTAAAAAGTTAACAGGTATTGGCTTTTCGCTCTCGATATTATATACATACTTTAAATATAGTAATCATAAGTATTGAGACATTTAAATACATAACAAAACCAAAGATTTTTATAATATTTTGTCCTATGTCTACATTTATAACTGTGAAGGTTTTGGATATTGTTATATTTTGTTGAGTGTTATGTTTGGCAGATGCTGTTAGCTATTATGCAATAATAGAAAAGGCTCTGCAATTTGTGTGTGCCGCAAATATGACAATGTATACTTAAATACAGTACATATCTGGTGTCAATACAACAACCCATTACCCGTTTGAATTAAGTCTTAAATCTAGGGTAGCAACTGTAACCTTCATTGACTAATTAATTTAGGGTTCAAATACTGCATAGGTACCCTTTTCGTACCACAAAGGTTGCTGATTGTTAAAAGAAGATTTGTAATTTCTTCCCGTGATATAGGGAATGGCTCTTTGCTTTGGTTTATTAATGTAGCTTTGTGATGTGGATATTGGGGTTTTGAAAATGCTCGATTTTTCTATTAAACCTGATTGAGTAGCTGGACCTGAGCTAAACAATGTGTATGATTCAGGAGCTTCTTTTACGCTCAAGCCATTATTGTAATAAGGTAATGGATTTTGTTGAATCAGTTTGTCGCTTGGTGAGTACTGATTTAAAGCTGGCAGAAACTGCGTTTGCGGTTCACAAACAGTGTGTTGAACTAACGAATCTAAGGGAGCATTAAAAATTCTAAAGTTAATGTCATTATAGTCTAGTGTGGATTCGAGGAAAACGGGCATTCGATCAGACATAACCCATAAGTTGCGCTCTTGGTCAATCTTAATATCACTTGGGAATATGAGACCAACGTCATCTTTATCGACCACACCGATATTTTGTGGCTTGTACGGAAGGTCTTGTTTCCAACATCCAATTGCATTTTGATCGATTAAATTAAAGAATTCAATGCCCGTAAGTTCATCCATTACTTTAGATGTGGTGTGACCATTATTACCGCGCACACCTACTATCTTAAAGTCCTGATAAGAACCAGTCACCTTTGATTCATCTCGTAATATGCGAGTCGAAACAGCAAATTGAGTGTGGCTTGTTAGAGGACTAAAATAAAGGGTCCTATATCCGTCGGGTCCCACTGGCGATGCTGTAATACCGAAAATACCTTCAGCGCTCCATTGGAAATTCAGACCTGCGATGTTGAAGTCCCCAACGAGAGGATCGGGCATGAAGTAGCCATGACTAAATCTCCAGGATCGATTTTGCTCCCATGAGTAGGCAATGAGTCCGTATCCAAGTTCATCCGAGAAGTACGCGAATGTATCGTCACATGTTTTACCTTCATCAAGAGCGATATTGGCGATAAAAGTTGTTGGGACGATATCTTCAGGGCGGAACACATATCTTCTAATACGTTGATCTGTATTTAAGTCATATATGTTCAGAGAGTAAGGGCATAAATTTGTCACATTGGGATCTGAAAATAAATAAATATTTTAATGAAAGATAATCGAGGTGGTCTTTTAATTATTTACTCGTCTTTAAAGTTGAAATCTTAGATTTTGGTTAAAACTCCTTATTTATCAGTATTCTCTTAACTTGTAAATCTATTATAATATGTCACATCACATCTGTTACATCACACATTTTTTTTTTATAATTTTATAATTTTAAGACAATGATGTTTGTAAAGTGATTAACTAATGTACCACTACTTTAAATTATAAAGTAACAACAAAAAACTTTGTAAATTCACTTACTATGTACAAAGTACTTTGTAGAAACTATCATAAATATCCTTTTCAATAGTACCCCAATTTGTAAACAAATAATTTATAGTCCATCAAATATAAGAGGTACCGTTTGACGTTTCTACTTTTCAAGACGAACCAACTTTAAATAGGCGTAACTCACACAATTTTAATAACCTTTTCCGTAAAACCGTGAAATTATGAAGCTATTTTTATTTTATCGCAAGATATACAACTCTTAATGACTAAATGCAATCTTTGAAATAAAGCAAAATAATCAACTTAAAAAGGTATTTAACTGTAGTGTTGCGGCGTTTCAAATTGACTTGAATAATCGAATTTATTAATAACTAGTTATTTTCAATCGAGACGTCTTAAAGTATTTAAATATTCTTAAAATTCATTTAACATCCAACTGTCAACGAAAATGCATAATAAAAATTAAAAGTATGTAAGTTAATGTAATTTTAAATAAATCTTGGTAGGCAAAACTCGCTCGTATTCAAGTCTAGCGTATACTAAAATTTACTAGTTAAACATATGATATGCCACTACACGGACTTTTATAATAACATATATAAATCTGTAAAACTGTAATCGATTAGTACATACTAAGACATGATATCGATATCTCTTAAGAATGGGATTTTGTACTCGTAGTAATCATTTGTTTTGACCCCATCGCTATACTTCAATCTGTCAGAACTTTCGAACCTCTTAGATCAGATGGACTATAGCAACTAATGTATACGATACGAAAAGAAATATAAATTTGAACTGTGCTGATAAAATAGTCTAATAGATATCTTTTTATTAAGAAGGGTGCGTTTTAAGTTTTATTTTAAAAATGATAAAACGATCTTCTTTTCTACAACAGAACAAAATACAATACAAATATCATAAATCACGTATAAAGCGACACTTACCGTACCCGTATGTACCAGTATCTAAAACCCAAAGACGATCACATTTGTCTACCTTTATCCTGTAAACAGTGTTTAGACCACTTTGACAGTTGCCCAACTCATTGCCAGCAAGACTTGGATAGGGGTTTAGATTCGGTGACGGATCGTATGGAGCGTCCAAGGGTATGTAGTTTAGGGTGGCTGGTATACCTGTAAACATATCAATAAAGACGATATTAAATTTGTTGATTAACTGGTCTATGTAAAAAATCTATTTTAGCAATGAAGCTATGCTATTGTTTTGTATAAATTATAATAGGAATTGAACACGTAATATAACCTATTCTCGCATTTAAATTCTATGATGAAAATACTACTCGAAGCAGTTTCTGTAATTGAAAACCATATCTTCCAAAAATGCATATTTGTCTGTTTTGATCAAATAACATAAGCTTTTTACTACTATTTCATTATTCATTGATCTGTATCTATCAATCTTTATCAATATCTTAATATAAGAAAGGAACACTGTAGGTAAATTTTAATAACTCTTCAGTGCAGGTTTTTTTCCTCTTAAAGTAGTTATAATCGTAAGTTGTTTTGGTTAAGTAATCTTTTTGACTCTAAAATTAATATATTCTTAATATTTAGGTTAACTGATATTTTTAAAGGTAAAAATAGCTATCAGAAGTACCAAGAAATGAATGTTTTATTTAAATGAGAGACCCAAGAACCTATCTGATCAGTGCGATAAACATACATTTATTTCTTGCACAATAATTATATTAAATAAAATAGTTTCTCACCTGCCTTCCACCTGGGTACGCTGACAAACAGCTTGTTATTCCAGCGCTCGATACCAACTGGGAGAGCGTTTTCTGGTATGAGACCGCCAGACTGTATAGCCTGTTGACGTGAGTAAGGATTTGGAAAATTCCAATCTAATACGTTCCAAGAGAACGACTCTCGAAGTTTAACTACAGCTGTCACGGATGACATCAAGGCAAAAAGCACAAGTATTTTCATTGCCATTTCGGTATAACTGGAACAAAAAAGTATTATTATTTAATATCGGTTTTCTCAAAAACTTTAAAAACATAAACAAAAGTAGCATTCGTTGAAACAAGGCTCTCGCAACCAATATATACATAAGTACGTGTAGCACATTATCATATTTACTCTAAATAACAAGAGTTCACATAAGAATTGATCCAATAATTTGTGCTCGATTTAACTGTTATCAGTTTGGTGATCATTATTTTATTCGCGAAGTTATGTGACATTTTTGTGACCACAGTTTTGAATAAATAAATATTAAGGCAATTATTACATAAATCTTTTGACTTTTTGTACCGATAAGAATTTTGCTGAGTTGCAAGAACAAAAAATGTTGTTAGAATTTGTAAGCCGTATAAATAGTTAATTGGTTAAACTATCAAGTTATTGTCAAATACTCTAAAAAGTTCCAAATTTTTATCTTAGAATGACTTCTACAAACATAAGACGCCTAAATTTTTTTACTGTTTGATTTCTTGCTAGTATAGCAATCGTGTGGTTATGTTGTAACTCATTAGAATTTTAAACTGTTCCACCAAAGAAACCGGTGTGGTATTGCTATTTGCTTCAAACAAAAGTTGTTACAAGTTGTTCACACTATATAAAACAACTTTTGCTCATGCCATGTTTTGACCTCAAGTCAAAAACACTATATTTTTCCCTAACTGACTAAGACTTCAAAAATTAAGTTTTATTTTAACTATTTCCTTAAGCATCATTATATGAGTACTATTTAACAAAATAATTATACAATGGAACGGATTACGCAAACATTAAAAAAGCTTTAACACCCATGCGTACATCATTCTTCTACGTTGTGTCCCTATGTAATTTGCAGTTAGGTTGAATAGTTGGTACGTAGCTGTAATGTATTTTTATTTTAAATTACTTGTGTATGATTTGTTTTGTACTTTAAATAATTTCGTTTGTTTTTCATTCTCGAAAGAGTTTATGTTTCATCGTACTGTTTAAACTGTGTACCTTATTTTTTAACAATAAATAAAATTCAACGGCTGATATTCTATACTTATTTCTTGCATTTACTAACATTATTTTTTATTTCTTTTTACATTTATTACTTGACAAATTTGAATAAAATCAATTCAAATTTTAGAACAGAAAAATATACCCAAAAAAGCTTGTAAATCTCGAATTATTGGCCAAAGTTTCAATAAGTATAAAATAAAAATTTAAAATGTTCCCGACTCAAAAATCCCTTCAACGTTTAAAAAAGAGCTGATGATCTTCGAAACACTGAATAGATATTTCTTAAATATAGGTAAAAAAACTACCGATCAAGAAGAAAATAAAATCAATATCATTCTATTCCTCGTGGTCTCACTTCTAAACGAGAAGCTAAACACAAATATGCACGATAAATGTATAACACTCATGCTTTTTAAGTCGGGGATTTAATATAATATTTATATTATTTATTTAAGTAAGCACACATTCAGTTATTATATATTCAATTAAATCACCATTTGAACGCTATGAGTCTATAAACAAATACAAAAATATTGTAATGAATTGATATTCTCTTGTCGAAAGCTTTTAAAAAAACGGCACATCTGGTACATCCAGACCAGCTTTTAAAACAAAAATAAGACTAATTATTATCTGCTCTTCATTAAACATTCACTTCAAAACTATATAACGATGACGCAAAAAGGAAACTAAAACAAATAATATAGAGTCACCTACCTTGTATTCCGAAAGTGTCCACTAACCGCGATAGTTTGTATTCGACTGAATTGATCTGAGCCACCCCTACTTTATAATAGGTACTGTCTGTCCGTCCTACCAACGGCGGCATGTGCAAATCTGTATCCAGCGATGTAAACCCACCCACCACTTTCGATAGATAAGCAGTGATAACCCGGTCTACATTTTAAATTACTAGAATATGGTAAATCGTTTTTCAATTTATCAGATCTCAAGTATTTGTAAATATTAATCAATTTAAAGTTTTTTTAAATTTATAGTAGTATTAATCAGTAATCTGGTCCGCAAAATTATGTAATTTTAGATGTAAAAAAAAAGAAAACATAATGCAGCAAAAATACTTCGTCTGGATGAATTGTTACGTATTGTTTTGAAATGGAAATCGTACTTCTAGTCCATCAAGGGCGATCGAGGATATTATACTTTGTTGAAAAACTTTGCTCATTATAATTTAGATTAGTAATTTATTTCATAGATTAATTATAAATAATAATTATATTGAAACTCGGTTTTAAACTGCTAGTTCGGTATGTTAATAATAATATGTAGCTTATTTATCATTACAAGTCCTTCTAAATGTTTTAATTCCAGTTTTAGATGATAAATGAACGGTTATAAGAATCTCTTACAAGTAAAGTATCATTTCGAGCTGTGATAGCCCTACTTTAAGATGTATATCTGTGTTGCAATAAACCCAAGAGTAGTAGAGGACAAGCTGCCAATGTCTGCTCTATTAATTTAATATGGAGTAACTGTTCGTGCTGTACTTATTGGTCGGGCGCGCTATATTATTATTGCATGACCTTTGCACACATTTTGATCTAAAACTATCTATGCCAGGCTAAGACTGATGTCAGAATTCATAAATCTCGTATAATACTTCTCAGAAATACCAAAATGGAAGATTGACAAATTATTTTTTTGATTATCTACGTCGAGATTCAAAAATAAAAAGTCAAATCACAGTTTTTTGCTATGAATGCTGATAAATCAAATTACAGATGGAATGGCTTTAAAACATCCATGTACATTCTGCTAAAACTAAGCATTCAAAAATGTATAAAAGTATGTTTGATAAAAAATACATAAATTAAGAGTGGAATGAATGTAAGTACATAGAAAAAAAACTAATAATTAATATTTTATATGTCAATTCTTCAGAATTATTAGCAATTTATAATTATTATCAATGTATAGTATTGATTGTTTAGTAAGCATTTATCCAAAGGCATGGTTTTTAATTTATTTAAAAAAAATCCATTACATCATTTTTAAGAACATATAAAAATACCTACCTCAGGATCGCACCATACTAAAACAGAGCAAGGTAACCAACCAGGTTAAGACTTTCAACATTTCAAAAAGAAATCAATAATTATATTTGACTTTTTTGTTTTAATCCTTTACGGTAACTGCAATACGTTTATATAATATACTACCTGTCAAAATTAAACCTAGTTGTAAAAGAGCATTAGCTAACACCATAAGTGGTGTACAACGATCTCGCGTTGTGCAATAGAGTCTGTATTAACTTTACTAAATTGTCTTACTAATTATATATTTCTTTGATTATGTATGTTTCTGATTTTCTGTATATTTATGTACGTTAAATATAAATATATACATAAATACACACGTTTCACTTTTTCCTTTCTAACTCTCGTTAAATCAATCTGGCTATAGAAAGAGAAAATCAATAATAGTCATTAAAGACTGATCTTGGTTGGTTCCTAATTTCGAAGGCATAAAATACTAAGTGTGTTACGTGGTGTTCAAAAATAAACTCCTTTTATGAAATTATTATATTATTCTTTTTGTACTCTGTTGTACACTTGAAGGTAACCAAGTGATAATAATAGTATAATGATAAACTCAAAAGTTGATCTATTTTTACTTTTTAATTTACGTACGTCTGTAAAGCTTGTTGTTTTAGTTTTACTTAACCATAAGTATAATTGAATCTACCTTATTTTTCTTTAATTTGTGGGATAACCATACTTCGACTCGACCGGAGTGATACCACGGCGTGTCAGAGAACCGGTGTTAAGCCATTCTTTGGTTGTTATTCACAGAGAGAGTGAGGTTACCGGAAACTTAGCCCCTCTTCCTGATTCTGGTGGAGGGGGGAGGGCAGCATTGCACTTGTGCCTCTGAAGTTACAGGAGTCTTTGGATGGCGATATTCAGTTAGCATCAGGTGCCTCGTTTGCTCGTTAACAGATATTTTAAGTACTATTAGAAAATAATATATAGTCGATGGGCCTGTTAGTCTAACTTTTAGTAACTGTGATTGCTAACTAAGCCGGAGGTAGTAGGTTCGATCAGACCCAGGACGAATATTATGTGATCAGTACCATTATTTGTTCTGTGTCTGGGTGTAATTTTTCTAGAATATGTATGTCATCCACCATCATCATCCAAAGCCTTTACTAGTCCACTGTTGGTCATAGGCCTCTCCATAGAAAGGAGGTTTTGGTCTACTATACAACATTTTGGATTTTTTTATAAAAATCTTAAAAGTCCAATTTCATAGTGATATCTATCAGAAATGATGGCAACTATAACCCCTTAAAGTTTCGAAGGTCGACTTACCCAGCAACCCTGTATATATATTTTTTTAAATATTATTTATCATATAAAACCTAAAATACAAGGCATATTAAAATATAACACGATATACCACAAAGATTTTTCGAGTGTTACAAAGACAGTCATTATCGCAAACTTACAATTATTTTTACTGAAATGAATAGACGTCTCGCTGTGCATTCTATCTCTGCGTAGTACATTACTATAAGAACTAGATAAATGCATCTCTTAAATGTGAATACTTTAATTATGTCTAAAAATGATTAGTGCAGTTGTTCACGAAAAATTCTTTAAGTTTTAATTTATTGTTATCCTCTGTAATTTTAATAACTAAATCCGGGGGATAGCTTGTTTATAAGTCGAGGAATTATGTAGGTAGTAGTTCTTTCACCGTCTGTTGTTTGCCCGCAGTGTGCACAACCGGTTTTTCGCTGCCCACAGAAATCGTAATATTTTATTACGATTTCTATTTCGCTGCAACTCTAGTATGCACAGCATGTTCTTTGACTTTTTTTTATTTGCTATTAAAAAGTTTTCTTTTGAATTTAGTATGAAGAGGAGATATACAATGTTTAAAGAGGCCAATTTCGTAGATTTCCAGATTTGGTTGATATAACTGTTATAGGTTTG